CCTCAAATCCATTTGGAAATGTTATTGTTCTAATAGAGTTGATTCTAAATGTCAGAATTGAGCAATCAGATGGCATCAAGTTCCTCAAAAAATGGTTTTAGTGACATTATGTGAGAGGTAGCTGTACCTAAGCAGATACTTTCCAGGGTGCAATAGCTGTAAATGAGCTGTTCTAGTGAGCTGCTTTCCATATCATCAACACTATATCACCCAATTCAAGGACATTCTTCTGTGCAATGGTGGTTTTGTTGTTAATCAGTGTGAAACTGTGGAGTTTGCTTCTGGTCTTTAAGTTGTGTATGTGAAAAAAAAAAAAAAAGGCTGTTTACACAGTTCCAGATTCTGGTATTTCTTCTTAAACAGCTGTACCTTCTCCTCCTAAAGCAGTTCGTGCTGTCTTTTGCCTTCTGTCGCTTTATTGGCTGTCAGCCTCCTGGTCATTGATTGACTTCTTTAATTATTCATAAGAAAATATATTTTCCTCTGTCAGCTGCAAGCTCAAATGTCTTAGATTTGTCTGTTAATAAAGGAAAACCAGGAATGTGCTTTCAAGCTACAACACATGTCTCATAGTTTTTGGGAGAACTGAACATTTGCTTGCCATGCAAGTGAAGTCATCCTAGCCAAGGGCAGTCTGTAGCCACCAGTGTCACCATTGGGATTCTGATCAGTTCACAGATACCAGGGTTGTTGCATCACTGCAGCAAGTTCATGGCTGACGTCACACACTGCAAAGGGGTTGTTGTGGAGCCGTGTTACATCATGGGTGGGAGCCCACAGCTGACAGTGTCACAACCTCTCTTACATCAGTGTGGCCAGTGGGTGTTGTGGTGGGTTTTGAATAGACAGCCAAAATCTGGCCTTTGCGGGTTTAAATATAAAAAAATAAAAATTTAAATTATGTGGGGAACACATGCAGATCTCTGGTGACAAAAAGCAGATTTTTATCAACAAAATTTTGTATCAAAGCTCAGGTCTAGAGCTGCCCTTCTTTGTTGTAGTTAATTGGAATGAGAGCAGAAGCTGCATTCCCATCTCAACAGGATTAGTGGACTGATCCCATTAGCATCTCCTGATGAATTGGAATTCAGCACCACCCAGCTGGTCTGAGTGCTAGAGCTGAGCTGCAGCTCCCTCTCTTTGCAGTGTATATAGGGGGTACCCCATACCTTGCACAGTGCATCTTTATGCATCTCTGATTGTCCTTTGGAGACAAAATTTGTGTTACAGCTGTAGTTAAAAATGTGTGAACGTAGCCCTGCTAATGTTTGGTGTTAGAGGAACATTCTTCTTTGAGAAGGAAGAGTTTGCATTTACTGCCAAATGATGCAATTTGAAGCATAGTGTATCTCTAGTCACATTTAACATTGGATTTGCTGACTTTCTCCACAGAATCCCAATTAAGATGGAAAAGGTCAATGATCTGACTGCTCTGAGATTTCATTTTGTATCTGTACTGTTGGCTTTTTTGTCTTTCACAAAGAGCTTAGTTCCAAAGAATGCTTCCCCTTTGCCAAAATTCCACATGATCTTGCCTTCAAGGAAACACATCCATTTTTAGTAAACTCGGAGAGCCTTTTTTTAAAAGAAGATCTCTGTAACAATGATTTTAACTCGTGAAATGTGGACACAAATGAGTTAATCCTAGTTCAAATTATAACCACTATATTTCATTCATATGATTATTCATAGTGAAATTAAGTATTTGTGCTTTTAGGGAGGAATTAATAATTTGTTTTTTGCAGTTTAAGGTATGAGAAGCAGCAAGGATGTGCACCTACATGTTAAAGAAAATAACCTGCATCGCATTGATTACTTCTTGCTTGTTAAAAAATATGAAAATTTAAATAACATCTCACTACAACATCTGTTGTTTTCTCTGAGAAATCTTTCCAGAAATTTTAGTTTACACAATAATTTGTACTGTAATAACTTTGTTTTCTGGTTGTTTAAGTTATTTCATGCATACAGTAGCAGAAGAATATAACCAAAACAAGTTGTAATTGGCAGGATATTAATTGGGTATTTTAAATCAAATATCTTAGTTTTTTCCTTTACCTCACTTCCACTTTCTCTTTTGAAAAAACGCCAGCTAGTGCTGTGCTGCTGGGCAGCAAATCTGTGAATATAAAACCAATCACTGGATTGCTTTTCTGGCACGGCAGAGGATTCCAAAGAAACAGAACAAAATAAAAATAAGTCACTGAATCTGAGGACTTTGGGAAATTAAATACTTATTGAAGGTTTGGGGGGGGACAAGGCAGGGATTGCAAATAAGCAAAAGCAGTTCTTGAATTTGCAGATTCAGAATTCACACTTCATTTTGTCATATATTGCTTCTGTCTGATTCTCAACTCTTGTTTTAGCTTAGTTATTCTTTTCTTCATGCTTGCTTGTTTTTATGGTCCTGGCCCACCCTCCCTCTTGGCTCCCATTTGGGCCCATGAAATCACAGATGCTATGTATAAAACAGTGTTCTCATGGCCTTCGTGACTAAAAATGCTCTAAACTTATTAACGAAGCTTGTAACTTTTTAGACCCATTTTGAATCATTTAAGAGTCTATACTGCAGCATCAAAATTCAGCTCTTTTCCACTGAATGTCTGCTGCTGCATAGGAATGCCAAGTTTTAAAAATCACTGTAGATTGAGAGAAGTCTGGAAAAACCAATTCGTTGATGCTAACCAGCTTTGGTGTCCCTTTTCTATCACATTCTGAGCTCATTTGTTGCTTAAAAATATATTTTCATTTCTTCATACCTAGTGTTATTTTTGCAGGGAGTTATTTCTGTAGCAATACTAAATTGTAGTTCAGAGAATGTGAAGTTCCTGACTAATTCGTGCCTTATGGTCTGCACAATGTGTAAAAAATAGTTTTTAAATAGTTCTTTGGTAAGGTAAAGTGAAACAAAAAGTAAATGAGAATTTTCATATTTGCGGTTAAACCCTTTCCAAAACGGAGTAGAAAGAAACTTTTTGTCACTTTTCTGCCAGAAAATAGGGCTCATTACTTGGGAAGCCTGTTTCTCTGTTAAAATGGGTAGAATTCAAGCTGCCTTTGCCAGCACAGCTGTGTGAAGGAGGGATAAAGCTGTGAGCTGAAGGATGCTCGTATGGTATGAGAGAAGTGGTGGAATTCAAAAACTTCTACACCTTAAACGTAAACCAGTGTTGTAGTAATTCTTTAAATAGGTGGTTAAACATCCAGTAAATGTGGGAAATAAGTATTTTTTCTCAGTTACTCTTGCTTGTTTCTTGTCTTCTCTGAAATAATTTGCATTCTTTTCTCTTTCTTGCATGGTAACATACAATTGTATTGTGAAATCTCTTAGCAAGTTGGGTGGATGGCAGATAATTCCAGTGTGGCTAGCTGCACTTGGTAGAAATGTTTCAGGATACATGACTTATGTTGGGACAGTATGATTGAAAACCTCTCTTCTCCTGTTACTTTTCACAACAATGTTGGCACCCAGAGATCCCACTAGGAATGTTGCAATTTTAGACGCCACATTGTACCACAGGGCTAAAACTCTGCTTTAAATCTGCTGCAGCTCTACAGCTTGAACGGGAGGGCTGGAGTGTACTGTCATTTTCACTAAATCATTAATTAGAATTAAACTATGGAAGTAAAGCAGAAGGGACCTTAGGACATACTAAGACCACTCTGGGTGATGGTTAGTGCAAAATAAGTATCCATTGCATAAGTTCTTGGAAGCCTCTGCTGTGTTCTGTATGTTATATACAATTACTTTGTTGACTCCTTTGTTGCCTACAGGTTCTTAAGCAGGTTCTGATCAGTCCAATTAATTTGCTGCTTCCACTTAAGTTGGAGTTCAGTGAGTGCTTTAAAATGCCAAGTATATTCTGTGCCACCAAAATAGGGATTCTTCTGCCTGCACCAACATTTTTCCCTATATCAGGCATAGGATTTGTGGGAGAGGTGATCAGAAAAATCCTGTGTTTCTGATTAGTTTCTCTCATACACTCTGGCAATGTAAAGCATATGGTCCAAGCTGTAGAGGTGTGAAAATTCTGCTTTGTCAGTAGCAGGAAGCAGGATCCATCACAATGATCTTTGCACTGATGCATTTATCTGATGTTTTATCTGGATTAACAAATGGTAAGAACAGGATCTTTATAGAGCCTGTCTTTAGCAATCTGTGAGTGCAGGTTTTTCTTTATTCTTGGAAGAAAAGGGGAAAATAATGAAAAATATTTTCTTTTTCACAAAAAGTAGAAAAGTAGGGCAAAGATCTCAAACTGCTTTCTGTCATAAAATAATAAAACTATTCTAGATATGCAATACAAACTTATTGCTGACTGCTATCATTTTGTAGTTTTAACTCCCACTATTAGAACTGTCAGAAACATTCATTTAAAGTGTTGTTTTTTTCAAAATCAAGTTTGGACAAGTTGAAGCTGAGGTCATGTTTGAGCTTGATACCAGCTGGAAAGAAGCACTTGGTGTTTGTGTATTGGGGAGGGGGGTAATTTTTAATTTATTTCTTTTTTTTAAAATTTTTATTTGTGAACAGACAAGGTGTTTCATTATGTTCCACAATAACTTTTTGTGTTGGTGGATTAGATAGAAATTATCATGACTTTGATGCTTTTTTCCCTGTGTGCACCCTGCTGAACTTTATATCTGTCATAGCCCCTGCTCTAGTGAGGTTTTGTGATACCTGGAGGTTGGGTGATGCTTCTGTCAGAACTCAGAGCTGTGTGTAAGGAAGTGGGAACTAGCAGCGGCTTTCCTTAACCTTTAAAGAGAAAAGAACTCTTTGCAACTGCATTATTTATCACAGTGCAACTTGTGAAGGAGAGTAATGCTCATGGACTGGTAATTGGAACTGTCCAAGGAAAAATATTGATTCTTCAAGTATAAAAATTTGGTCGGTGTTTTTGGTTAAACTTCTTTAACCAAAACAACCTTGCCATGCAAGGAGCTTAGTGAAGTTTTAAGGCAGCTTTACTGAATCTTCCTTCTTTCCTTCCCTTCAGACTTGTCACGGAACAGACTGTCAGAGCTCCCAGCAGAAGCTTGTCACTTTGTCTCCCTCGAGACTCTTAATCTGTACCAGAACTGCATTCGATATATCCCAGAGGCTGTTTTGAACCTACAGTCTTTAACGTTTCTAAATATCAGGTAACAATTGTCTTACAAATTTTGCTTTAGCATGAGGAGTCTAGGTTTATACATTTTGGTGCATCCATAAGTAATACTAACTTGTTATATTTTCTGTCATTGGATGAAAACAACCTGAGCCAGTCTTACCCATTAGGTGGATCAGGGAGCATGAGGATTAAGCAGCAGCTTGTAGAAGAGGAGAAGAAGAAAGATAATTCCAGTTTGAAGGAATAAATAAATTTCAGTAGTTTCTATCTGAAATATCACCATGCAGACTGAAAAGAGATGGTAGATTTTTGCATTGTCTTTGCAAAGCAGCTCTCAGCAGCTGGATAAGGCTTATGCAATATCCCTTTACCTTCACTGTACTGGTGGCTTTGGATGATCTTTCTCAAGCATTAAGAACTTCTCTGCCAGCATTACAAGCAAGTTTCTGCAACTTGGCCTCTTGATGAAATCCAAATGTGTACAGCATCTTTCATTTGTAGAGGCTCTTTTAGTAAATGTGGAAAGTTTATCTTCAGAAATTGACAGTCTCAGGCTCTTTCTAGTGTTCTAAGCACACTAAATTGGCAAAAGTATATTTCTTTATTTTCTTTTTTCTATTTATATGAAAATTGTATGAATAGGATATGAATCAGATATTAATTTCCTAATGCTGTATCTCTAGTAGGTGCAATACCATTATTAACCTTACTTAATCAGAAGTACACTTTATATATTCAGTGTCTCATGACTTTCTCTGTGGCCTTGCATGTGTGCTGACCTGCAGTGCTACCCATGAGGAAAGCTTTTGCACTCAGCCCAAACGAACTCCTTTGTGACAGAGCATGGCCAGTTATCAGAGACACAAAAGCATCACATTCCTCCACACTGAGTTCAAAAGCATCTGATCAGCCTTGGTACTTGATATTCAGAGTTTGTTTGTACATAACTGGATAAAGTAATGAAGAACAGCCTCATGGAGCTACTCCTGTAGTAACTGCATAAAAACTGATTTGATCATCTGAATGGAGTGTGCTTTTTGTATGTATCTTTCATTGCATTAATATTTCTTATTGACTTCTGGTTATTTTGTTTTCTTTCTGTCCAAAAGTCGAAACCAGCTTTCAACATTGCCAGTACACCTCTGTAGTCTACCACTAAAAGTTTTGATAGCAAGTAATAATAAGCTGGTTTCAATACCTGAAGAAATTGGACGGCTCAGACAGCTGACAGAGCTTGTGAGTATACACTTGATTTCCAACTATTACTATTCTGCTCTTGGTCTAAGGATGATCTCTGTCTGCCACAGTGTCTCTGTGTTTGGTTTTGTATAGAGATGTTAGAAGAGAGTTTTAAATACTCTTTTTAAAATAATTTTATGTGAGAGCAAATGATCCATGTCAATTTAAATGTCTTCTCTATCCTAGAAAGGAAGGCCTGTGGAATTAGAGTTCTTGCTGTGTTTGTTTCTGGCAGAAAGCTTTTATGTAGCAAGTTGTGCTGTCTGAAATACTGTGGAGTAACTTGATATAAATTTCTACGTCTGAATGCTTAATCCTTCAAAGCTTTTATTTCCCCTTGTGTTTAAAATAAGAACAATGCTTCATATCAGCAGTGAGACTGAATGAGAATACACATCTGAGGTGTAATATAAATAGCTGTCTTTTGCTTTCAGTCCTTAAACAGAGCTGCATATTTTAGTTAATAGAGACTTACACAGTGGTAACTCATTCTTTGCTCTTATTTGTAGGATGTGAGCTGTAATGAAATACAAACAATACCTCCACAGATTGGCAATTTGGAATCCTTGCGAGACCTAAATGTCAGAAGAAATAATTTGGTGCGGTTACCTGAAGGTGAGAAAACAGAAACTTCACTGGACTTCACAAGGACTGCTTCCATTCCTTTTTTCTTCCTCTGAGAGCTGGAAGCAGCTTAATTGTTTTGTGAAACATGTTTTTATACTTTTGCTTTTTCTCACACACTTTTAATCTTCTGAATTCTTTGTTTCTATCTCCAGAGCTTGCTGAGTTGCCTTTGATTCGATTAGATTTCTCCTGCAATAAAATAACAACAATACCAGTATGTTATAGGAACCTCAGACATCTTCAGACCATCATGTTAGAAAACAACCCTCTCCAGTCCCCTCCTGCACAGGTAAATGCAGCTAGAAAATTAGATGACTAGTTCAGCTAACAAGGGCAGAACTAAATTATAAACTGAAGTATTATATTGCATATTTGTTATTTAAGAACAAGAGAGCTTTAAATACATTCTGTTATCTAAAAGTGTGAAATATGTAGCACAGCTTGAGAATCCCTTTTCTTCTCTTTACTGTATTAATGGTTTCTACTGTGGAATATGCCAAAAAATTTCACTACTGTTGGCTTGAATATTTATGCTTTCAGCATAGGAGAGAGGAAGCTTTGTTAGGCAAGATTGATTTTCTGTCACTCAAATGTCAAAATTTTGACTGAGGTCTCAGTGCTGCAGTTTGCTGATCCGCTTTGCAGCAGAGTACTAAATTGGCCTTTGAGCTAGAAACAACAATATTATTAATGACTAATTTGATTTTCAGTGTGGGCATACAAGTCCCTGAGTATCACAGGTTCTACTGTGAGCTGCTGCATCAGAGTCAAGAGGGGCACTTACTGAAACTTGTAGTTTCAGTGGGGTTTTGCTTTCCCTGTGAAAGCAGGGACAGCTGTTACTGCCTCCATTGACTATAAATTTGAGCTGGCTTTGGCAGTCTGCCAGTGCCATTCAAATCTGGGCATGGGTGGGATGCATCTGTTCTGATGCCAAGGGTATAAATTCTAGTACTTGTAAATGTTCGTGTCTTGTTTGCATGATGAAATTTCAGCATCCAGCTGACAGAGTTGCCTGCAGACCAGATGTGCTTGGAGGACAGCTTCCATTTGTCTATCATGATGCTCCACTATAGCTGTTCCTCTAAAATGCAGTGAGATTAGAATAAAAGATACATAGATTGATGTAAATGTGTTCATTTATTATTATTCTTAATGGCATCTTGAATGCCTGTAGTGTACTTTGAAAATGTATTGTCAAATTGTACTTACTTTATTTTTTTTTTTATTTTTTTAAGATATGTATAAAAGGAAAAATTCATATATTTAAATACCTGAACATAGAAGCATGCAAGATAGCTCCAGACTTGCCTGATTATGATAGGAGACCCATGGGATTTGGATCATGGTAAGTTTTGCACAAGCCACATTTCCAGTTTTAATGGCATTCAGGAAAATTTTGTCAGTCAACCTTGAGTTTATTAAAAAAAAAAAAACAGATCAAGAATTGTTCTTTGGCAAGTGCATTGAGGTGGCTTTGAAAAATATTGTTTATGGTATTTCATGGTGCATTCTAGTAAGGTACCAGTGTGTAAGAAATGAGAAGTGGTTCAGAAGATGATCTGGGCAGTGTCACATGTAAGGCAGTGTCAGAGCTGATATGCAGTAAAAAGAGAGTAATAATAAACAATGCAGGGGGTATGCTCTCGTGTTGTTAACATGTATGTTCAATTTACAAGATCTTAATATTTTCCACAGACTTGCTGAATCATAACCAAGCTGTGATTTTTAACCTTTTGTACAGAATTTTATAACGGCTGTGCTCAAACCGCAGGTGTAAATGCTGATCTCCACCCCGTTAGTAAACTGTTATTTTTGGCAAGCTTTCATTTGGCTCTGCTGCTGGCATTGTAACACAAATATTGGAACAGTCAGCACTATCAGCTGCTAAATTAAGATGTCTAGCAAAAAGCAGGAGTTAAGATTTATTTCTCTTACGTGATACAGAAGAAAGAGAGTCAGTGAAGTATGAAACTGAATATATATAAAAATTACTTCAGTCATCTTGGACGGTAGTAATAAGGTGTGGAGGAGTAAGTTGCTGAAGGATGTACTGCTGCCTTAGCAGCAATAAAACACAAATCAGGAGGCTTCACAATAAATCATCATGAGTCAGATTTATGAAGAAGAATTTGCATGAGGGACTGACAGAGTGATTCCTCATCAGCACTGAATGTCGTAAATAACTGTTCTAGATGAGGTCAACATATGAGCATGTCAAGGATTAATCGATTTCCAGTACAAGCTGTTACAGATGGTTTCCTCAGTATATTGAGAATACTGTTTTTTCTGGAAGGAAAAGGCTCTAAATGAGAAAATGTCATGATCTGTTTAGCTCTAAGAGTTTGTTTATTTTTATGAGAAATTCAAAATCGAGTAGGCTGCGTGCTTACTGATTTATTGTTGTCTGTATATTGCTCTGGAAATTTTCACATATTGTTTTTGTGAAATGAGCAGAAGAATTAATGTATTTTATTCATACCTTGTTAAATGTTAAAATAAGGGCTGAACTAGTTGAGGATGTGCTCTCTAGAATTTTTACTAGACTCAACAGTATGAAATGAGCTTCAACTGGCTTTGCTTTAGCTTTATTTCTGTACCCAAGAGGAGATAATAGTTGGTGATGGAATTATTTGTTGTTACTGTGCTGTTTAGGGCACTCAGTGTTGCAGGTGATTCCTTCCATCTTCGTGTACCTATGGAAGAACTGTCTGTGGAGCAGAGCACATATTAGAAAAAAATGGTAGAATGATCCAGTGAAAGAGGGAATCCCCAGTTATTATATTTTTATGTAATTTGGGATGAAAGAAATAAAATCTTTCAGCTGTGATACAGTTAATATTTCCAGGCAAGGCACAAAAGCTTTGTGTTTGTTATCTTCAAAGGTGTCCAATAGAAATAAAGTATCAGTCAGTCCACCTAGACTTTGTTGCTGGTTTATCTGATCAGCTTACTGTAATACCATGCAGGTCGACAGTCTAAGTGGTAGAGACTCTTAAAGTTCAAGGAAATTTGTGTCATGCTGTCAGTTCACTCTTGATCAAACATTTTTAATAAAGCAAGGTTGTTGATACTGCTAATGACACAAGATACTCTGAAACATCATGGCAGGAAGTGTGGGTTGGAGGTTCTAGCACAGCTAGTTGATTGTTTTAGCTTTGTCAAATTATATCAAACTGTTTAACCAGAGTGAAACCCTGTATGTTTCAGTCCTTTTCTGAACATAAGCTATGTCAAATTTATCTTGCAGCAAGTTTTGTTCAGCTGCAATAAGCCAGTCTCATTTGCAAGAGTGAAACTCGGAGCAGCTCAGGGAATGAGCTGGAGGGAATGAGATGGGGAGGAGGCAGAACTGTTGAAGCTGTGTAGCAGTTGTTGGCAGACTGACATAGTCTGGAACTAGAAGGTTTAAAATACCAAGTACTCATGGGTGAACCAGTGTAGTGAATATTCTGGGACTTGGGCAACTGTTCTGGCTTACAGGAGGTAAACATACAGGTTTTAGTGTGACTTGGAAATAGCAGCGAGTATTGTCTTTCATTGTTGGTCTTAGCAGGCATTTGGCTTCTCATCCTTTGATTTCAAGCCTTACACAGCTTCCTATAAGCTGTAGTTGCCCCAAAATGCTCTGATCTGTCCAAATGCCTAATGGTAGTTCCTTGTGGCTTTTTGGTCAGGGAGGAATAAAAATCTTAAGTCTTAGGTGACTTTAGGATGGCTGCTGTGGGATTATAAATGTCTAAAGTGTGTAGCATTGGATAGGTAAGTTTAGTTGTGAGAGTTGAGAAGACAAAGCAGCTTTCTTGTTAAAAAAGAGAAGTCCTTGCCACAGTATTTACATATTTTTGAGCTTCCAGCTAACTTTAGTGTTAGATGTAAAGCTTTTAAAATTCTCCTATTGAAAAGGGAGGCTAAAAGAAAATTTGTATCAAAACACTTCTCATTTTTGAGCTCCTTAACTTGCAGTAATTGTTCAATTTACAACAGGGTGCTCAGGAGACGCTGAAAATATTGATTCATTTAAAATGGAATTATATTGCAGACAGATTTTTCTTTGATCCATGTTTTAAAAATACGTGTAAGTTCTGCAAACTGTTAATATAATTATGGTTCTATGGTCAGTTATTCAAATTTGTAGCTCTTTAACTACATTGGGTGACTTTATGGTAATCCTTTTTTCTTCCCACCCAGAAGAAGGGAGCTGTTTTTTTCTTTGGCTTTTTTTCTTTCTGATGGTTTATTATGCAGATGATCTTTCTGTTCAAATACAAGGCTGTAAAAGTGGAACTCCTCTGAGTTAATCAAAACTCCGTGCAGATGCAAGAGCTTGTCCTAATCTACATCTGCATAGAAACAGATGGATAGCTTAATGTTTCTCATCTGCAGCCTCCATCCCTCCTGGTACTTCTTTGCTATTTCACGTCTGTCTGAAAACTAAATTAGGCCTTGATAGTAGTCAGTCAGTCTTCTATGATGATGATGATGATAATAATAATAACAATAAATTTGAAATTAAATATTTCCTGAAAGTGGAATTTCAGAGGGAGCAGCAACTTGAGAGCAATGCCAGTGAGAAAATGACCTGCAATTTAGTTATGATGGGGTGAAGCAATTAGCTTCCTGAAATTCATTCTTCCTTGTGCATTATGTAGTAATTACTGCTGCAGTTCTCCCTGGGGCATCGAGTGCCAGTAGGACAGTTGAGCCATTGTGAAATGCCATCTGCAGTGGATCAGACAAGTCCCATTGTCTCTTTTACTGTAGCTATCTGCATCAGTTGCCAGAGTTGACATCTGTAATAGCTATACTGCTGAATTACATAGTTTCTAAGCCCAGAAATTTAAAGAACTGTGTAGCTGTTTGGTTATATGTATTGTAACCCTGGGCACATGTCTAATGCCTTTGTCTAGACATGTCTTTGACAAAGCTCTGTAAATGAAAACTGTACTTCTACAGTTACTATATTATGATGTATCTGAAATACTGTTCAGCTTACTGCAGTTTCTTATGTAATTAACAGAAGCCATTTATGCATGCTGCATACAATACATACATACAGTACATGCTGCATACTTTTGAGTAGTAGTATATTCTGTATTTTTAGTGATTTTATACATATTTATGCTTATTTATGTAAAAGTTTGTTTGACAGAGCTTTTCAATCAAAACATGAGAAGTAGAAAATGAAAGTTTGACTTGCTAAACAGAGAAATACGAGACCACTTTGCAGTTTGCTTTGTCATAACTGCTCTTCAGGAAGCGTTTGAGGAGTGGATCTGTCCTTTGAATCCACTTAGCTGTGAAGGCCAGGCAGTGGCAGGTGACAGCTGACTGACAAGGATGGTGAGCTGTCAGCACGGGCCTCCTGCCCTATTACAGCAAGTGCAGTGTGAGGTTTTCAGACATGCTGAGCTTGTGAACACACTGCAAGTGGGCTTGGTGGCTTATTCTGCTTTTGTTCTGTAGTAGCTGAGAAGCTTTTGGTGGTGTTTATATCACAGTAACTAAAACCGTGTGTTTGACAGCCACGAGGAGCTTTATTCCAGTCGTCCCTATGGAGCACTTGATTCTGGCTTCAATAGTGTGGACAGTGGAGACAAAAGATGGTCAGGGAATGAAGTAAGTGTTGCAGCTTTATTTTTGTTGAGTGCAATATTTTACAGGAAATGTATGCATCTGGAAGAATATTCCATAGGTAACATGCATGTGCTGGTGTGCAGGTTGTCTTGAGCCAATATTGCTTTTTTAATTGGAGAAAAAACAAGGTTAATTTTATATGGGACAGACCCCAAATTGGAAGTATTAACAGAAATGTATATAACAGTGCATGACAGGTTAATTTAGTGGAGCATAAAAAAATGAGAATAGGGTTCCTCATTTTAAAAACTTTGTAATTATATTGCAATGCCAAGTCAACTGTAATTATTATGAAAAGTTGTTTCAATAAAATAAATCTGGACATTAAAATTCAGCTTTGGCAAACAGCTGGAAATTTTGTTTTCTTCCTTTGTTTAAAATGGTAAAATCTGTTTGCTATTTAGAAGGAGGAAAATAGGATCTCTCAGCAAAAAGGTTGTCAGTTATTAATGCCAGGAAGAAGTTCCCTTTTCCTCTTGGGGCAACTAGAAAATAGCCAAGACCTAAAGTGTTGCAGTGAGCTATACACCATACTTGCACTCCTAGCTTGATTTTGGAGAAGGTGCTAGGATTTTCCATCCTGGGATGTTTTCAGTCATGTGCAGATACTGCAATCAGAACTGTAGGCAGCTGGTTTCTAAAGAAAGCTCAACTATATGTTTTTTTAAAAACAATGCATTATAGCTGTCTTTTGCTTTAAATTAGTGATTTGTGGTTGTAAAACAGAGCAATTGCAGTACAAATTAAGGACAAATCAAGAAGTAGTAGATTACAAAAATATGTTTCTGAAGAAAGATTTTTCCAGACTTCACTGTTTGTTTTCCAAAGCCAACAGATGAGTTCTCAGATCTCCCATTACGTGTGGCAGAGATCACTAAAGAGCAGAGACTGAGAAGAGAAAGTCAATACCAAGAAAACAGAGGAAGTGCGGTTGTAACTAATGGTGGAGGTAAGTAGTGACCTTTGGCTAACAGTATTTATTGTCATCATTATTAAAGTTCCACAATGTTTCCTACAGATAGTAGCTTGTTTAAAGAGGAAAAAAACCAGAAAGGTCTAGGTGAAATTACACAAAAACTATGTTGTGGAAACTGTAAAAATACTGTTGTTTTAAGGATGATAAAGGCAAAATCAAATAGCAGCAGAATTGGTATTTTCTTGAAAACTGTTATCTATGTCCTAGGTTAAAGTCTCCAACTGCTTCAAATGGTATTTTGGAATATTGAATTTCAGTGCATGGAATTTTGCAATTTGAGCTTCTGGGGAAAATTTACTGCAGTAGTGAAGTGTCATTGCCCTGTGCTGACTGCTGTCAGAACAGGATGAGCAGTTTTGTCAGGGAATGTTATATTTCCAACTAGTACACGTGTCTCATTCCAGTTTTGGATTTTAATGCAAACTTTAATATCATCCAGGAGGGGCTGGTGTTTGTGAGTGGCAGTGCTTTGTTGCACTTTCTCAATTGGTGTCCTGCAGTCTTACAGGATCACCTTCATAGTTGATCAAGAGCTGATCATGCTTTCTATGTTTCTTGATCTCCACACTCCTGCTTCATTTTAACTTCCAGAAATCTGCTGCTACCAGTGTCTCCTTTTGTTTATATGCCTTAATTTTAACAGTCTTTCAAGTTAATTTTTTCAATCATTCCTTCTTCTCCATTGTTCTGCACTACTTCTTATTAGATCTCATCTGCATATACTTTGATTGATTCTTCTTTCTCAGCTGCTCCCTGTTTCTCATTTTCCTTGATGGCTACAGTTCATTTTTTCTAAGTGTCACTCTTCCCAGCTACATCTAATCTCCTATGCCCAGTTCCCACTTTTTCTTCCCTCTTTCCTCTTCCTCCCCATCTTTATCTTCTGCCATCTTTGTTTCTTGGTCTGAGTCTTCTGTGCCACAATTTTTCTCTGTCACCTTCTAGAAGTATCTGAAACTTTTTCATTGACACTCACTTTCACAACTTAACGGGGAAAAAATTCAGTTCAAACAGTTAAATTCTGGCAGTTAGAAAAATTGAAGACATGGTGTCATGGGGAGCTCTGGGCAGCCTTAATAACAGGTAGTGCTGCCAGTTCTGCCTCCAAGACTAACTTTATTTTGTGCTTTGGCTTTTGTACAGCAGGGATTTCAAAATGCCTCACAGACTTTTAAGCTGGAGCATGATCAGTTCATGAGTAGGTGTATCTGAGAGGGGGCACGAACCATGGCATGTGGCTGTCAGAGATCCAGTTGCTTTGCAGTTTTGTGTTCCTCACAGAGATACTAATATCTTTCACCTTTTTCTGTATTATTATTTTTATTATCATCATCATCATTATTTAATAAGCAAGCCTGGAAAGAAGGGGAGTTTGGGTTCTTTGGCATTTTTTTAAGATTTGAAACTGAGATGGAGATTTAATGAAGCCACAGTATATAAGAATGTAGTTCTGGATGGTTGGAGCAGAGGGGGTGGCTTTGGCAGTAACAGTTGCTAGATTGTGTGGTGAGCAAAGAGAAGTCTGTTTTAGCCAAGCAGGAAAGGGGCGGGGGAGTAAAGAAGAATGTCTGCAAGAGTCTGGAGCAAGTTTGGGGAGAGTTTTAAGAAAAAGAAAGCTCTAGTGCTCTGAAAGGGAATTGATGCTTTCCCTTGCATCCCCAGTGCAGTATTTTTCACCAGCGGCATTTGCTTAATGTCATGACTCTCAGAATCCCTGGGCAGAATGTGGAAAAGCAGTGACAAGTGAAAAAATTGCCCTATATATTATCTCCCACACAAAAGAAAATCAATACCAGCCAAACTGTGCTGTTATTTGCTCTCATTTCAGTGATTCCTAATTTATTTTTCATTCTTCTTTTAAAGTAAAATTGCAGGTGCCTTATATTGTTTTACAGGGGTTTTGTTGTTTTCTGTAGCGTTGTTCATTATTTCCACATGCACTTCTATTATTGTATTTGCATCTAGAAAACTTAGACATGCTGCTCTCTATCTTGTTGTAGTATTAATACTGGTAGAAGGATCTGTCATATCCACTCTGGTTTTTCTGACAGAGAACCAAGATAAATTATTCCAAAATGTACACAGGTCATTATACAGCCTTGATATTAGCTGAAAGATTTTGATGTATAGCTTTTGGTTTTGAAAAGGAAATCACTGTATTTATTTTTTCAGTCACTGAAAAAGTGTCTGCAGCCAGCAGTATAAAACTACCTGCTTGATACATGTTTCTCATTGCTTTTTAAAAGGCATTTTATCATTATTTCAAAAGTTATTTATGTAATGTTAGTGGGCCTGGCAAAATCCAAGAGCTTTCAGGCTGAGCTTTCCCAGATGGCAGAAAAAGCAGGGCCTTATTTCCTCACCTTGCTGCATTGTTGGGTTTTTCCCTCTGTTGTGGGTTGTGTAATTGTGGGTGTTTTCTCTGTGTATGTTTGTCAAGTGGAACATGATCTCGATCAGATCGACTACATCGACAGCTGTGCCACAGAGGAGGAGGAGGAGGAGGTGAGGCAGCCCAAGTGCCTGGACTCAGACAGCCTGAGCTCCCAGTTCATGGCGTACATCGACCAGCGGCGGATCTCCAACGAGGTGCTGCTGCTTCTGCTTCAGCTCATTCCGCTCACACACCCCAGCAAAGCCCTTGTGAAAACTCTTCCCTGCTAAGTCACGTGCATGTTGCACTTCTGGAGATAGTCCTCAGAAACTGAACCTGTAGAATTAGATTTTTAGCCACATTATGTTTCCTTCTGTGTTCTGTCAGTCTTAATACCTCTGTACACAGTTACACAGTTCAGTGGCTCACTGTACAGACTACATGAATAACTTGTCTGAAAAAATCTTTGTGGCTGCTCTGCTTAAACAGTAACTGTGGTGCTGTGATTCAGATGTGTCCTTTCAAAGTTCTGTGTGTTTTGAACAGAAAGATATACTTGCTATTTGAAGAAAGGAAAAAAAAATAAGTGGATCTTTATTTTTTATGTAGGAGCTTGGTCCCTATCTTGTCTGTGTTTAAAATCAGTCACACAGATATGAGAGATGCATTCATATTGCAAAGCTTGTAAATTCAATATCAGATCACAGAAGCTGAAGCACAGACGCAAGAGCAAAACTCAGAATAAGTCAACTGTAGGCAATGCAACCCGAGGACTCCTTGCTGTAGATAGGGAAAAGGCATTGGTCAGCATCACAACAGTTATTCCTTGAGGTCTGTCTAGTCATATAAAATAAGCTGCTTTTAGCTGAAGGAGTAGTTTCTCTAAAAAGACAGCCCAAAATTCTCTACTACTTAGGAAGGCTGACTGCAATATAGCAGCATGCATGCAAGGTGTAAGTGAAAATTGGCAAGTTAATCTTTAAATTAATGGGTATCAGTAGAAGTTTTAAAATAACACCAAAGTCAGTATATCTCTTTATAGGATAAATTATTTAATTGCTCAAATTAAACCTAAAATGTTCTTATAAATCCCATGTTTTGCTTTCTTAGTCCTTCTGGGACCTGTCTTTAGAATGCCATCAAAGACCATCAACTCCTTTATTCTGTATTTCTGAGAATCCAGTGTTCACTGCTGTACACTTGTAGAGTTGAACAGAGTATGTAGAAGAAGAATGTATTTACATTTAAATACAAATTTTATACCTACATGAACTTCTCTGCATGATTCTTAATACTGGAGATTTGAAACTTCTGAAGTTACCAGCAGGCATATTTAATCTTGAAACTAATATTTATTTAAATTGGAGAAAAAAATAAGAGTGAGCTTGCTTGGTTGGAAATGAATATCCCTGACTTGTGTTTTGTGCTTCTTTGTCAGGTGTTTTAAATACCAGTAGTTACAGATGTAGCCCTACAAAGAGATTGTTTGGCATTAATGTACGGTTTTCTGAATAAATTACTAACTTAGTCTTTTGTGGTTGTTTTGCTTAGAGCTCACCAGTAAAGCCTGTATCCATCAGAGAATACCAGAGAACAGAGGATACAAGACGACATTTACATCAAAACAGGTAAGAATTACTGTGGTAACAATAATTCAACAATAATTTCATGATGATTGCAGAGCATGTATTTACTGAACATGTTTAGAAAATGGCATTGGTTTCTGTTGCTTCGCCAGAAGTGTGTATGGCACTTTTTTGATAACTTATTGCTCCAAATTAGGAATTGGAATCCTACTAATGGCAGTGAGCAAAAGGCATAACTGTTCTATGCCAATGGTCCACTTAAAATTAGTTGGTTAAAGAAATCTGCATAATTAAAGTGCCTGTTTTTGAACTGATTTAATATCTGCTTTTTGTGATTTAATTTGTGTTTTGATTAAATAATTGATTTAAGCTGTATTACATAGAGGACAAAAGGGATAAATGTGCTTGCAGGAAGGCTAGAGATACTGTGGAGTATCTGATGTGCCATGACCACACATTCTTGGTTGACTCTTACTGGTTTTGGTATTGTGAAAGATTCGTTTATTTTTAAAAGTACCTTTCTGGGCTGTAATCATGAGCTTACATCAGCAGAAGAGATCGAATGGGGATCAATTCTGAAAACAAGTTGCTTGTTTTGATGAAGTACGCCCTTGCTCTTTAATGATTATTTGGTTTATTAGAGAGAATACTTATCTGTAAAATGTCAGAATTGGACAGAGTATCAATGAGGGATGGTTAGGTTTCTGAAAAGAATTTTGGATGTCTAGTTAAAAGAAGATAAGCAAATAAAAGATAAAAAACAAGCAAATTCTTGCAAATGAAAATTGATAGAACCTTTATTATACCATTGTAGCATTTCAGTATTCTGTGGAGTGAAAGTGAATTTGTAAGGACTCCACAGAAAACCAGCCCAGATGTACTTGGAATGTTTAGGGGGGCAGGGGAGTGGTGGAAAAGACAACTGCTAGTCCTAAGTATGTCATTACTTATGCTGTCAGTAGAAACAAATGGATTCTAAAATGGTATTGAAAGAGCAAATGAGACCAAGATTAGTGTATAAATTTTTCCAGAGTTTTGGCAACATTTTATTAGACATGTTGAAATGTGCTGAAAATGCACAGATTCAGAAGCTGTACTGATACAAGGGAAGATAACTATTTCAGCATATGTCAGCATTCCTTATCCTGTCCACAAGTCAGGTATAAAGTGATATAGCAGTTCTGCCATGTTCTCCAAAAAAGTGAGTGCTCTTGGTTTGAAAACTTGATTTTTTGCTTGTTTATTTACTTATTTTTCATTTGAACATTTGTGGTCAACATGGAAATAATTAGACTCTGCAAACACTGGTTTCCATGATAAATCTGAAGGAAATAGGAGAAGGCTGGTTAGCTGGGGAGAGCTGCTGTTTACATAGACAGATGTTAATGATAAAGGAAGTTGTAAGTAAGGTATCCATTTATTTCAAAATTTAACTTAAGGATAGCAGCAAATCTCCATGCAGGAGTAGTTAATCAGCAATCTGAATGAATTGTAGTTTACTATGCTGCAGCAGAGTGAAATTATTAAGGCACTAAAACCAGATCATGTTGTTATTGCCTTCAAAATTGTGTAAAAATAGCCATATGACAATGAGTAATTTTTTGTATTTTAAGCTTGTATTAGTCAAATATTTTATTTTGTGGCAACCACAAGCTGTAAAGTGCTTCCACAGTAATTCTGTGCAAATGCCTTGGCAGGCAGCCTCTTTTTTTTTTTTTTTCTTTAGCATGCTGGAGCCATTAAAACTCAAAGCTGGATGTAACGCAGACTTCATCTCAAGAGTACTTATATTAGTTGATTCAATTAAATAAATACAGTTTATGCCTCTGGACAGACTGTGGTGCATTCCTGATGCAACAAAGCTGTGTGTACTCTGCTCTGAACACACTCCTTGGCACTGAGCTGAAACCACTCCTGTCTGTTCAAAACAGCTCCAAGTAATGGGTTTGTCATGTGCTTCAGTGCTAATTTAAGTAACAGAAGAGACCTGTAACATATGGGTCTTCCACATCTCATCTCCATGAGGAAAAGGCCCTGAGAGTGCACACAGCCAGCTGGACTGACACGTTTTGGAAGTGCATGGTTAAGTGTGTGTGTGTTCCATGGCTGCCCCAGGAGTGAAGGTCACAGAGTTTAGGCTGTCAAGAGTCAGCTCCTTGATTTGCATCAACTTTGTTTCTAGGCAGCAGCATGTCAGGGTACGTGCTGTAGGCTGTGGACCTTGGGAATTGTTTCAGTGCTAACAGCTGCCTTCTAGCAAAGAAGTGACTGCAAAATTTCTCTGTTACTGTTGATATGATGGATAAGAGCCAGATGGGTTCTTATTTACCTTGTGACTTCGAGGGCTTGTGTCACTGGCAGTCACCTGATTGGTGAGGTGTGCTGAAAATACCAAAGGATCCTGATGTTTAAAAATAATTCTGCTCTTTCCACAGCAGAATAAGGCCTGCAGTAACCCAAATACTGTCTTAAAAGAGAGACTCCATCTTCATGTATTTTGAAATCATTGTTAATTCAGAAAGTTATGTTTAAATACAAACTGCAGTAGTTGTTATCTGACTCGGTATCACAATGTGATCTCTTTAGTCCAAATTTTACTTTTGTGATTATCTGAAGTTAGTTGTTTGGGCATTTCTCTCACAAAAGCAGTTGTGATCTGGAGTAGAATTAATCTGACAGTAGTCTATATGCATCAGTGGCCAAATCCCCTTCCACCTGGTGTCTTACCTGCAGGGATACAGATGAATTACGAAGACCTGAAACTCTAAATTTGATGCAGGACAGAGAGCATCACCAAGTACTAAGGAGTTATGTGGACAGGACAGAGAGGTAGGGAAAAAAAAATTTGAGTGTTTCTGCTGATTCATTTTATTATTTTCCCCTCCCTCAAATAACCATACTATCCAGTTGTTCCTCTAAATGAGGATCATGTGAAAAATTCCTGATTTGGTTACTCTTAGAGAATGAGTATGAAGTGCTGAGTATCTCAGTGTAGTAGGCCAAATGTACAATCCCACTGGTACGTCTTGTGTACACAATTCAGGAGAAGAAATAGAAATTACTTCACAAAATCTGTCATTCACAGTGAGTTAAATCATCATCACAGGTGTTAGTAGACAGTTACTCTTCTTATTTGATCAGATACTTGCGTGTCACTGACAATTCATGTATGCAAAATTTTTAGATTTAAGATTAAAAGTCTACTTACTTTCTGTTTTTGCATTTGTCAGACCCCTGCCTGATTCACCTTATTTTCTCTCGCTATCAAGTCACCACACCCAGGTAACACATAGAATTTGAATTGTTTTGAATGAGTTTGACGTGGTGTTTTCCATATGGCGTGGGCTGTTTCTCCATAACCCATCTGCAGCTCTGGCTTCCCAGCCTGATGCCGTGTTTGATTGCAGGTGCCCAGCACGGATTCGGAGCTGCAGCGCCGGCACATCGAGCGCACGCGCCGGGAGGCACAGCTGGCAGCCCTGCAGTACGAGGAGGAGAGGATGAGGACTAAGCAGATGCAGAGAGAAGCTGTGCTTGACTTCGTTAAGGTGCCTCCTTTTAGTACCTGCTTCATACTTTATCTTTTCTAAATCCCTTAATTATAACTAATTGCCGTGGTAATTACTGCTTGTGTTATGCTCCTGGCATTTTATAAAGAATTTGGACAAATTGCATCTAAATCCATTAAATGTTGGTGCTGTAGCTTAACACAGGCGAAGCTAGAACTGGGGAGGAAGATGGAAGGTTTACCCAAAATATAATTTTTGTAAAGAATTCTGATTTTTGCATATTTCACCTCATGTTTTCAATTTTCATTTACATAGATGTGAAGAGATTGTTTTCAGAAATAAGAGGCCTGTATGTGAGAAGGCATAGAGGTAGTATAATTTTGAAGACAAATTTGGCAGGAAGGAAATAATCAGACACACAAAAATATAATGCTGCCTGATCTATTTTGCTATTTTGTGATAATAAAATAAGTTACTCCTGGGTAAAACATGGGTGCAGACCTATGGTACATCAGGCACTCACTCTGAACACTGTGTCTTCCCTGTCTCTCTCTGCACTTAAGCAGAAGTCTTCTGCTTAACATGCCAGTTTATTTATATGGTAGTTAATTTAAATTTGTTTTACTGTTTGCTGCTCTGGTGACTTGCCTGAATCTCACCATCACAAACTTAAGAAATGTTACAGTTGATATTTTGGGCTTAGGGTGGTCGGCAGAGAGGCAAAGAATGGTTTATTGCTTATATTTAATGTATAAAGTTGGTTTAGGTAAAGGGTCTTAGCTGCCTGAAACTAGGCTTTTCATTAGCACCAACTATTGTCAGGCCTCTGGCACTATTTTGTAGTAAAGCTGCTTATTAAATATTCAGCTCAGTCTTTTAGTTTAAGTTAAGCTTATAGGATGCATGTTGTTCACTGATGAGTCTGTTGGGGCTTTTGGTTTGGTTTTTGGCTGTTTTTCTTCTGTTGCCTTTGTCATTCATGACCACTTTATTCTCAGCAGTTAAATTCCTCCCTTGGGTTGTATTTTGGGTTTATTATGCATCTTTCATATGCATAGTTTGAAATTTTTGTTTGAATGTGGAATGATTTTTTACTAACAGGGAGGTTTCAGCTCAGTGAAATTTGTGATTTTCCAGTGCATGTTCTATTTAAAAAACTAAAACCTCTGTTTTAAAACATTTCTAAGTTATGCTGCTTTGTTGTGAGCTTTTGTTTCTCTGTGACGTTATTTTAAGTTTCATTTTTTCTTTTTCTGTGTAGCAAAAAGCCTCCTTAAGTCCTCAGAAACAAAGTCCAATGGATAGTGAGGTAAGAGTCCAGTAAGAGCATTAGTAGGGATGTCAGCACTTAAATTCTTTGATCTCCATCAGAATTATTTTTTTCGTTGTAGAAAATACCACAAAACTGGGTTATAACATAGTTTTTTCACATATTATTAAGCCTTGGTTTGAGGGTTTTTCTAATGGGGTGAGTCTTGTATTTTCTTCTGTTCATGTAGATTGCCTGTCCAAGTGTGGTTTTTTTATTGTTTTTTGTATGTTTTCTATGTTCTCTGCAGAAAATACATTTCATATTCCATTCTAACCTGCTCCTTGTTAGCAGTACAGTTTGTATTCTTACAGGAGTATTCAGTCAAGTTAGTGTTATAGTTGTCCTTCACTGATCAGTTTTCTGTCCCAGAAATACTAAGCTTTAGAATTGTGAGGGCTGTCAGAAAAAGGAATAAATTGTTTTTTTAAATTTTATAATAATAATAATATACTTTTATAATAATGAAATATTTGTCATCAAAACCAGATAATTCACTTGGTAGTGTTAATCAGATGAAAAGTTTTAATCTTATAACAAGTATGACAGTTCTTCAGCAGCATTTTCCAACTCTTTTTGTTAGAAAATTACCAAAATGTGGGGCAATTGAAAAATAGTTTTTGCTCCTTTTTCTTCTTAATGTTTTTCTGTTCTTAATTTATTCTTTTAAAAGGTCCTTTGTTCTACCAGAGTAAGCACTGTGAATGCATAGTGTTCTATGTTTGCTTGACACAACACAGAAAGCAGAATAATTGATTCCTGAAGTGATACAACTGTGCTGTAGTTCCTGGGTCATGAGGCTTTGTGTTCCTGCAGTTACAGAGGCTTCATGGATTGTTTTAAAGAGCCTCACAGTGCTATAAACAAGCAGTACATGTTCCAAAATGTCTGTCTGTTCACATACTGTGTGTTCTGACATTGTGTGTGTTTCTGACATTGCTCCATCTCTCCCACCTGCCAGTGTCCCTTTCCATCCAGAAGGTCTCAGCATACTGATGATAGTGCCTTGTTAGTGGTAAGATCCTGCACGTAATGGCCTTTTTCTGTGGCAGATTCTAGAGCATAGAAATGACAACATTATGATTGTCTCAGATTAGATCAACTGTTTTAGAGCTAATCTAAATAGCATAAAACATGACCATTTCCTTTGAAAAGTACCTTAGCTGTGAACTGTGATGTTATGAATATGTTGACACTTTTGCTGTCAGACATTTGCTAATAATACAATGATGTTTTTCCACAAAATAGTTAAAGCTTATAGTTTATTTGACAGCAGAAGAAAATTACTGATAGTAAAGAGCAATTTCTAAAATGAAAAATTCACTTCTAGTTGTTCTGGTTTAATTTCTTCTCCATTCAGCTTGCTTCCTAATTGATGTGCTCTTCAGTGTCATGTAAGCAATTGTAATGCTTAGTACAGCCTTCTACTTTACATGTGTCGTGCACATGATAGTTAGAAATAATTGGCACGAGAAAAAATTGTTCTACTTATGAATGCTACAAATCATGGAACACTCATACAGTTTTATTGTTTATTAGTGCAAATGTCTTAAAAATTATCTATTTGGAACACTTATCAAAAATAAAAACGTATGCACATAATTCATGTTTTATGCTATTTCTTCCTTTGTGGCATCTTAGCAATGTAGCATAACTAAAAAAATCTAATTAATGTCATAATCAATGTCTAGAAAATTAAAAATACACCTGATTTGCCTGCTGTTGCATGACTGCATGCCTAGAATTTATTTTCTTGATTTATGTGCTCCATTATCTGCCGAAATTTTCTTTAGGCAGTGCTCTTGGTTAGAGTGTCTCTGTCTTGAACATGTTGGTCAAGATACTTACTGTGTCTTTAATCAGACATTTGGGTTTTTTGCTTTCATAAGACTAGCACTTTGTGGGAGAGAAAGAAAGCTTAAAATGTTAGAAATTTAATAATCATGTGGCTGTTTAGAGAAATCACTATCAATGAGCATATTAAAATGTTCTTTCATAGTTAGGTCATACAAAGCAGGAGAACAGCAGTAGTTCGGGTTGAGATGATTCTCTCTTGTCAGTGAATTCGTTTTTGGAAAGTATTTTAAAGACACCTGTAAGAACCCCATTTCTATTTGACTGTGTGATCACATTACTTTCGTTGTAAATTAAGATACAGAATTTTCAGAAACTAATTGAAACTGGCTTCCATTGCTATTTGTTTCCTTTTTTTGTCTTTAACAAAGTTACATCCTTTTACTTCACCAAAAGAGTGACCAGGCTGGTGGGGAAGGATTGAAAGCAGTAATGTCTCTGTTCATTTTTCTTTTGGTTCCTCACGTTTTTCAGCAGCACTAAATTGTGACAATATGTGAAATGCTGGAGTTTCTAATCTGCAGCTCTCTTCTGTGGTGGAAATCAACACTGGGCCTAATGAACACATATGCCAGGGCAGCTGTTTCTGGAAATTATTGTAACTGGAACATTAGGCCATTACTAGCTCATGAATTTGTACCATTTTTTCTTTACACAAATATATTTTATATGGTAAAAACTTGTTCAACATCAAGGAAATAGTCATGAGTTTGCTTTAAAAAATTGTAAGAGTTTACATTGCTTTTACCTTTTTATATTCTACTATGTTTCATTTGACATTTTCCCTGTCCTTATGGGTTTGAAATTTAGCTAGGTCTAATTTCTGAGGACATAAGGAAAAGCTTTTAAAAATACTAAATCTAATATGTAGTTAGAAAGCAAGTGAGCTTTTATTTTACTACTTTGCTCTTCTGGCATTGTTACTGCTTTAACAAAAAATTTAAGTTGCAAATCTCCTTTTTAAAATCTTTCATGTTTCTTTTGGTCATCTTGTCGTCTTTAATCACTAATTAAAATTAGAATGTATTCACGTTACACAGGTTACTCTGACCATTTCCTTCTGTTTATAAACAACATCAGGACAGTTGATTGGAAGTCCCAGAATGATTGCCCATACCTTCTATGAATGTTAATGGTTCCATTTAGTTGGAGTTCCTCCTCCATACTGTGTTTTGAAGTGGAGTCTAGCTGTAGAACTTCATTGGTGGATTTCTGTGGGTTGACCTGTGACAGATAACCAGACTAAAGTGTTGTTGAAGAAATATAATCACTGGTCTCTCTGAGAAAATAAAAGTTTTTGTTAGTCAGAATCTTGCTGCTCTCCCAGGTATAGTTCTATTTATTACAGTAGAGATTACTTGTAGAGCTGGTATCAAGATTTCAGACTTGGCTAAATATTTCAGCTTTCGTTGCTTCTAAATCTCATTTTTCTCCAAATATCTTCTTGTTTTCTCCTATACTGTCCCTTACAAGGTTAATACTATTGAAGGGAGGAAAAAAAAACAATCCAAAACATCCTCTCACTGCTGCTCAGTTTCTCTGTTCTGAAGCCCACAAGGTACTTCAGAAGCATCAGGCACCTGCTGTGACCTCTTCCTCTCAGCACCTTTGTGTCATTGCTGCCTTGTGCTCCCTTCCTTGTGTTTTCTTGTTGTGGTCTTAAAGGTGGCCTCAGGCTGTCATATTGCTGTTAGCACCTCTGAAACATTTTAAGACTACATTTAGGTAAGCATCAGAGTGTTACAAATAATAATGGCATGGGTAAAGTAAGCAGGGCTTGACTTAGGCAAACTTGTACCCCGGAGTTCTCTCAGACTGTTGGCATTCATTTGTTTAATAACCTAATTCCCTTAAAATATCCTTATTTGGTTCGTGCAGAGTTCTGGTTGGGCTCTCCTTTGGCACTCCCTGTATCTGCAGTTGTTTCTGGCACAGGGAAATTTTTTTGACTTCAGAGCTAGAGACCTAAAATCTGCGTGCAGCATGTGCAGAGGGTGGTGCAAGTCTGAACTGCAGCATCCTGACTCCTTGAGTGTTGTGGCTGCCTTTTCTCACAGTCATTCTTTGCCTCACTTCTTCCTTTCTTCCCTCTCTTTCTTTCTGTACTGTACCTGACAGAATGGCTTTGAGCCTCTCTTTGTGTTTGAGATTGACAATAACACCAATACCATTAAAAGGAGGCCAGGCACTCGCAAACAGGTGAAGAGCATGCGGTGTGTTGGTGTTGTGGTTGTCCCTCCCTGTGCTGTGTCCCCTTCCCTCTGCCCACTGCTGGGTGCCTGCACAGTGACCACTTCTTGTTAGTCTGTGTCAAGCTTGCCCTGCTCTTTTCATACAGGAATAGGCAGATACATTGATGTTACATCCCACCTGGTTCTGGTTTATTTTACTGTTCTCATGTGCTAGCTAATGTGTTGTCTAAGTCAAGTGATATTTGAAACTCTTAAAAAAATAAGAAAAAAACCCCACCATTTTGGCTCTGCCCTGCTCTAGAGAAAGAGGCAGTTTTGTGGATCAGCTGTAAATCTGTACAGGGCCTAAAAACATTTGTGTTTAAGGCTTGCCCTGAATGTAAACCTTCCCTTCTAGTCCTTCTGGCTGTGCTGTTCTGAAGTGGCAGAATAGTTGCAAATGTTTTAAGAACTAACTCCGAAATGCCTTTCACTACCTGTAGAGTTTCTAGGTGTCATTTGATGTTCTTTCCTGTGCTAATCTGTCATGTTGCTGTTTGAATGCTGTTTCGGAAAGCGTAGTGAGCCATTCAGTCCTCAAATGTTAAAGTTTTGATGGTGCTTTCAGTGAGATGCACAATTTTGCCTTCTAGATCCACCTGTCAGTGACAGATGGGCACAACCACGGCCCCTGTTCTATAAACAGGAAAAGTTGTCTATCTGGCTGGTTGTGATATTGGTCATAATTGAAATGTGACTGCACTTTATTTGTGGCAACACTGTAAATTCTGACACTGACATCTCCCTCAAGAGTGAGATTCTACCTACAGAATCTTATTTTTTTGTGTGTAATCATAAGGACCAGTTGTTAGTGTTTGTGGCAGATACAAAGTATGTATTACTGAGCCTCTTGTATATGGGTTCCTCTGATTTTTCAGACATGCCTAACGTCCTCAAAACATTAAAAAGAAAGAAAGCTGTTTATTTGTAATAGTGGCCTGTAATGGACTATTGTAGGGTAAAATTTCTTTTTTTCTGATGGCATAGATGTTACTAAAGAAGCTTTTGCCTCACTTAATTCTGCCTTAATTCTGTTTTTAATATCACTGTATTATATGTAAAAGAAACACTACCTCCCAGAAAGTTCAGGAGGTAGGAGGGCTTTAACTATAGTTCAGCAAGTATTGATGTGTTGCTTGTTGAGTGTTTCTGAGAATGTGATCGTGGTCACCTCTTCATTTTTAACTTTGCTGCATTCCACGTTTGTGTACGACCTGTCAGCTACTCACTAACCCTGCTACTGCCTTCTCTTTCTTTCTGCATTCAGTCACTCTCAGGGTTGAACCAAGAAAGCTGTGCTACTACCCTGCCTAGTGCCTCTACCTTCAGTCCTGTCAAGGTATCTCTTGCTATTATCATTCACCACTAGAGCCAACAAAAAAATCTCGGATCCACACATCGGTTTTAACAGGTGTTAGTCTGTCAGCATCTAATCAAAAGTTCAGGTAGGGTATGAACCTGATTCACCTGATTAAACTGTAGTGGGTATTACCTCAACTTAGCTTTAGGCTGTGTCTACAGGAGGCCTGATCTATAAAACATGGTAACCAGTCTCTGCTCCAAGGGGTTCTTGGTTGTCTTTGATGTACAAGATCATTTAGTCTTGATCAAGTTGTGTTCATTAAAAGTGCACTTGTATTCTTTGCCTGTTTCTTTCTTTTCTGTGGAAACTGCTGTGCTGAACGCATTCCTCACAAGAAATCATCAGTCTGTGTAAGCACTGTGATGAAACCACAGTGTTTCACTGGGGACAGATGTTCAGTAAATAGTTCTGCATTAGCGAAGGTGTCAAAGAGGAGTATCCTTGTCGGGGCTGCTGTATTTCCAGTTCTGCATGTTGCTTAATACCTGTTTTTTGTTGTCCCCTTTGCAAAGAGCACTTCTCATTTTGGGTTGGAAGGAAGAGCTAACAATGTTCTGTCATTGCACAGTCAGTGCTGTTTCATCATTATTTTTCCTAAGGAAAAAAAAGCAGTTGTGTAATTTCTGTAAAAGAGGAAAACTTTGTCACTGCAGAGATAAGACTTGGGAAACAGCATACAGTGGTTTTTCTTATTTCTGGTTATTTTTCTGAAACACATTTAGATGGATGGAGCTTATCTTAAAACATAGCAAATTGAAATGTAGTCAAAGCTTTTCCAGATTAGGACCACTCATACTCTTTTACGTTTTTGTTCACAGAGTGATGACAGATCTACCATCTCCCCTGGCTCACCTACTGCTCAGACAGGTAACAGGGAAAGCAAAAATAGTTCTTAAAAATAAGATCAAAATGCCTGCTTGCTTATTTGTCCTATGAAGAGAGGGGAGCATCTGTTTCCACCTCTGTGTGTGGCACTGCTGTGTGTGAGAATTTACCCAGTTGCTTGCGTGTCCTTAGAAAAACGCAAGGGAAGAGACAACAGGGATGAAGCATGTTCTTAGGCAGAGCACAGGGTTTGGCTGGTTTAGGCCTTCATAGAGGTTTTGGCCCACAGATGCATTCAGCAAGAGTCAGAACAGTTGTTGGAATTGGTATGTGGAATGTGCTTTGCATGCAAGTGTCCTTGGAAGTGCCTTTTCCTGCTCTGCTTTTATCATGCATGGCTGTAATTTATTTTGTCATCATTACATTATAATTTTTGTTTTGTTCTTTTTAATTACCACATTGCTGTACCCATTTCCTATTTAAACTCTAACCATTTCCTTCTTCCTCCTTCCTTTCCTGTGCCTTTCCACATTTGTGTTTAGTCCACCTTTCCCCTCCATATCCTGGCCATGCAGCCCCGCCTTCCTATAGAAACCCTTCCCAGCGACCTGAGAGTTTCCTTTTCCGAACAGCTGTCAGGGATGAAGCCAAGAAAGGTAGGTTATCTAGCTCAGAAATCAACTAGTTTTGCTACATTATATTGGCATCTGCATTACCTGGGGCTTGCAGTGTTTTGTTACTTCAGGTCTTTATCATCAAGCTACTTTTAGAATTCCATTTGTAGACAGATGACATCATATACATTGTGAAAAAAGAGGGTTTTATTTGGAGCTGTCTAATATTCTTTTGTCATAGCTCTGGAAGTGTGAGGATTTGCTCATCCTGGTCTGCACTTACACCTTTGCCACACGAGCCTTCAACAACTTGATAATTCTTGCATTGCCCAGCAGCCTGTAACAGAATTGCAGTTTCTGTTGAATTGCAATTTCAGAACCATTTCAACATACTCCAGGTGGCAAAACTTTGTCATCATTTTTGCATGACTGTTAACCAACAGAAAGATCAGAATCTAAACAGTGAGTGAATTGTGTTAAAATCTCTTTTAGGTTGGGAGATCATTAGTTTGATTAATAATCAAAGGTAAGAAAGAGATTTGTGAAAAGGAATGTAACGTACCCATTCTGGAACTCTGTGCGGTGCAGTAGCAAACAAAACAGAGCTAAACTGTGCTTAGTGATTTCCTTTCCTTCATGCTGCTGTTTTAGCTGTTGCTTCATCCTCTACCTGTGCCTTGTCTCCTGCTAATGATCCTGCAGATCCTCGAGTGAGACAAAACTCCAAACAGCGGGAGGAGGAGCTGGAGCTGATAGAGCAGCTACGCAAGGTAAGTGCTGCCAGGAGCCAGAATGTGAACATAGCAGGAAATGCATTTTATGACCCTGCTAAATCTGCCTTTCTCTTATGGACCAGTTTCACTGAACCAGTATGGGGCACAGTTGACCAAAATTAAATGGTGTGGTACAATCTATGTACTTCTTTCAGATGGGTGCAGTGGTGTTCACATGGTTGTTTGTAGTAGATAAAGTCAGCTTCAAATTCTGTATAATAAACTGTGTTGACTACTGCTCCTGAATGTCTGGTGAACTCTGCTTTTATGTGTGCTTCCTTTCTTCCTTATCAGCTTTCACACTTGTAAGGAGCTGCCTGGAACGTTGCCTTTACTTTGTCCTTTTAATGTCTTTTTTTAAATTCTTTTTTGCTATAAAGCTGACAGGAAAGCAGATGGAGTTCAGAGACTGCTGCCAGTCATGCTGCCATCATGGTTTCCTTGTGTGCTCTAGATCTGTCTGTTGATTCTTGCCTTATCCTTAGTTAAGTGTAGAACATTTGAGCCACAAATGTTTCTAATATTTATGCTTTTTGTGTGCCCAGGGGCACCACACTACTAGTTTGTGCTCAGGTACAATGACAATAAACAGGAATATTGGAAATGCCACGTGGCATTAAGGTACTGCTCTGCTTTGCCCCAGATTTCTTTCTGCAGAGCATGAAGGGATTTCTTGAGGTGCTGCAATTAATTGTTTGAATTTTCCCAATAAATAAGAATATACTTATTGAAGCTAATCTTAAAAGCCTTAAGCACCCCAGATTGAGAAAATTCCCTCTCTTTGGAGGGAAGTGTTGAAGTAAGGACAGTCTCCTTTCTCTAAAGGAGAAAGGTTACCTTAGATAAAACAAAACTCGGTGGTGTTTACAGACCCTCTCTTATGTTATCTCAGATTGCTTTCTGTGTAGTCTGTCTCTTGTTCTGTTCCCCAGGTAAGCTTAATTTTTTTTTTTAAATACTTAAAAATTTAGATACGTTATTACAACTCAGTGGCATTCACAGAGCACTTTAAATGAGTTTGAAAGCCTGAACTGAATTTTTATTAATTCTCTTAAACAAATGCTTCCTTCTTTTTAGAGGACTGCTTAAGCCAAATAAGCAAGCATATTCAGTTCAGTTTTTATTTAAAGGCAGAAATATTGTCTTGACTTTTGTTAATTGTGTTGTCCTTCAACCCACAAAGACAATTATTTTCGCTTCCCTTGGCAGAGCCATTCTCTGAGAATATGTAGGGTTAGGAATACTGTTCCTAGATCCTGATTTCCATTACTCAAAAATAATGGTTGTATTGGTCCACTGTGCTGTACAATGAAAACTGTTCTTCATTGAACTCAACTGCTCCCAGACTGTGGCCAGCCCTGGGCCCCAGTAAGGCACGGGGCTTTCCTTGGAGTTATTCAGAAAGCTGGTTGGAAATGCCATGAGGACAGACAGAGCTGTAATGCAGGAGCTCTGCCTCGAACAAACTTGTGCAGAATGCACAGCTGGAAGAAGGCAGCTCTGAGCTCCCCCTGTGTCCCTGTTGGTTCCCACAGAACATCGAGTCGAGGTTGAAGGTGTCCCTGCCCAGCGACCTCGGGGCGGCTCTCACTGACGGCGTCGTCCTGTGCCACTTGGCCAACCACGTGCGGCCCCGCTCTGTCCCCAGCATCCACGTGCCCTCCCCTGCTGTTGTAAGTGTCCAGTTATTTTATAGCTGTCCCGAGTGACATCCTACAAAGTGCTGTAATCCAGACAGACAGACACTAAACTCAGCATTCTCCTCAGTGAATGTCCATGACAAAAAATAACCATCTGTGCTGTTTAAAAAAGGTCTGTAAATGAAATTCTAAATGAAATTCTGTTTGGGTTTGTTTTATTTAAAGGAAGTTACTTCTGACATTTTTATGTGCTCCCTAACACACTCCCTAAGCAAATTAACTTCAAAACTGGTGAAATACTAGCCAGTTCAGCACAAAAACTGAACTAGGATATTTTAAAATATCAAAATCTCTGACAAGTTCAGGAAAACAAAGTGGGGAATTACAACAAGTAGGGTCCCACTACACAAGACAGGGAAGCCAGGCAGAGACCAAGTTGATTCCTGTGTCCACTTCACAGCACTACAAATTCCTCTGCTTAGGAATTTTAGCAGAACACACTCAAAATACTTGGAGAACAGCATCTCCTGGAACAAAACAAATCCTGTCTTACCTTTGTGATAACAGGAAAAAAAGGTGGCTGTGTCAGGGGACTGTTGAAAGCAGGGAAGCATTGCAGTCTGTTTTGCAGGGAAAGCACAGAATTAGAGAAAGATGAAAATCTGTGAGATAACAACAGATTATTTATCCAGTTTATGTTTGTGGAAGTCAGAAAGTTCAGTGAAAATATTTAGGATCAGCTACTTGAAAGTAATAGGGACAGGCAGATTGCTTGTTATGCACCTTTAAATTGTATGAATAAGGGAAAAAAAGCAGAGATTGTTCATTGGGGAAGAAGTTGAAATGTGCATGTAGTCTTCACTTAACCTTCTTTTAGAGTGAGTCTTCATGTTGATTGGAATCTGAACTGGCACTTCCAGGGCTGCCAAGTGTGTCCTTTTTGTTGTGTCTCTGGGACTGGATGTGACCAGGCAGATGGCCCTGTTATTTTGAGAATGTCTGAACTGGACACACCAACGTTGTAGGCAGACTGTGGGATCATTTCAAGAAAAGGCAGGGGGCCACTGCTCAGGAGACTTGTGTCAGTGAGATGTTTTCAGTGGCCTGGTTTGATGAGCAGCTGAATGTTTTGTGTTAGGAATTAAGTCATGGCTTTGTCATGTGAATCCCAAGGAAGAGGCAGCCTGGAGTCACGTGGCTCCAGGAGCAGGAGAGGCATCACATCATGCCCCAGGCACAGTGTGATCTTTGTCCTCCCTTGGTCCTTCGGGAGAAGGAAGCCAGTGCTGGCCTTTAACCTGATTCCTTGGTGGGGAAACACAGCACATGAAGGGGACAGAAGAAACCCCATCACTTACAGAAGTGTTGAACACCTGGAGGCTGCTGCCTGCTGCTCCAGAGTGTGTTCACAGGAGCAGGGAGCTTGTGGCTCTTGAACCAGAAGAGAATAAGCTTTGAGAGCAGGAACAAGATAGAGCCTGTGCTGTGGTATGTCTGAAGAGGTGTGAAAGCTGACTGCAGAAAAAAGCCAGTTGAAAAAATACCAGTGAGTGCAATTCAGACAGCTCCATTTAACATATTTACAAGAGGCTGACAAGCAGCAAGCATCACTTCCAGTTTTCTGACATTATTTTTTGGTTTCATCTAACCTTTATTTTTTTTACCCCTTTGTTAATTGAAGTATGGTTTGATATTTATATAGTTTTGCATTACAGTAATCCAGAACAGACTCTAGATTGCTTTATGTCATGAAATTGCTCTGAAATCACAGCATAGAAGCCATGGATGTGCATTTCATCAAAAGACATTTTTAAAATTATTATACTATAGTCACTAAAAGTGTTAGCCAGTTTTATATAACATTGTGTATATAAATATTGCAGAACTTAGAAGTGTTCCCTTTTTAAAATCATCCAGCATTCATAACTTAGCTTTTCATGAAACAGCTTTGAAAACTGGGATGGTTTTCTAAGAAAAGCAAACTTCAGGAGAGCCTGCTTTGAATTAGACGAGCTTATGTCAGCGCAGTGTTTTTGGCAAAGAGATTTATTAAGAGTTTTATTTAAATAAAAAATAAAAATCTTTTAAAACCTTGCCAGTTAAGAACACCGTGGGCTTTTGCTTCTTTGCAGCCTAAACTTACAATGGCAAAGTGCAGACGAAACGTGGAGAATTTCTTGGAAGCTTGCAGAAGGATTGGAGTGCCTCAGGTGTGTATTTCTGCTGTCATGGTATAATGTTTCAGATGCAGTTTTGCCTAGTGCTTCAGAAAATAATTCTTCAGAATACTGGATTAAAACAAAATGATTAAAAGTTTAAAAGGTTCAGGTACAAGCTGTCCTACAGTATAGGTCAGACTTACCTTGCATGGTCTTCCAGAGCAAAATTAAGCCAGATATAGTTTATCAGTGTGTAGTATATAGATTTTATATTTTCATACAGATTCACTTAAATACTGTTCATCAAATTCATAATAGCTGATGGACTTCGAGTCTGTATTTAGAACTGGCAGGCTCTATAAAATCAGCTAAATTTTCTCATTTTAGGTATGTGACAGCTTAAAAGTGGGATAAAATCTGGGTGATGGTTTGCGTGTGGGGTTTTTTATCCTAACGCTTCTCATGTTCCTTCACAATAATTCTCTCACCTGAATGTTTTTACTGTCTTACCAACAAGTCACAGAATTATTGGCCTTTCTCTGATAGTAGCTGTCTTTGCAGAGTTCCTACTTCTTTTGTTATGTACCAATGGTAGAAGTCTGTCTTCCTTGTCCCCTTTTGAAACTTGTAAGATCTAGGAGGGGACACATACTAAATAGTCCATCTTACCCTGTTGATCCAGTTATCTTGTTTTATGCTGTCCTGTCCTTTGCATTTTGTCTTATTCAGCAGCTGTCTCAGTGCAAATAGTTTTAATACATTTTATTTTTTTCCTGATTTCCCTTCCAGTGCACTAATTGATTTGGGTTTTTACATTGCTGATCATTGGTGTTTCTTTTGTATTCTGAAAGGGAGAAGTAGACCTTGTGACTCATTTCCCAGATATATCTAAAGGCAGTTCTTGAGTCACTCATGCTGGATTTTCTGGTGTTTTCAGATCACTTGCAGATATTTGAGCCACTGGGATTTTAGGATGACTTATTTATTGAGCTGCCTGGCAATTTCACATGGCTCAGTGGTGAATCATGTTGGAAGGAGCTAGGGAGTTGTAAGTGATCATTAATTCTGGGAGATCCTGCACTGCTTTTAGTACCCTAAAAACCTTTGGCTTTCAATCCCAGCAGAACTGCACAATATAAATTCATCTGGGGCATTGTGCAATTCCATACCAGCTTCCCTATTTATAGCTCCCTCAAGTATGAAGATACAGTTTTTATGGGATCACAGTACAAAGAAGATCACTGGAATGACCCACAATCAAAACCAAACAAACACAAAGGCCAATTAAGAAAAAGTCCCCTGTAAACCCCTGCTGCTTCATCTATTACCCCTACTGTGCAGAACCCTCCTGTTTTTCTCATATATCTTGTTTTATTGTGAAAGTTCAGGGCAGGGTTCTCTCTGGGAAAACTTAGTGAAATGCCCCCCTGAACTCCAAAGCTGCTCTCACATGTCTGCATTACATCTCTATTGAGATGTGAACATAAGATACCTGTATGTAAGAATGGCATGGCAGCCTAATATGTTTTTCTTGAAAAGTTGCCTGCAGGTTTTTAATTTCATTTCCATTCTAATTACAAAAATAATAGGCTTTCTGAAAGCATGGATCCATGTAAAAATACTTGCCTTTTAAGGGGAAGGCTACTTTCGGAAAAGGCTAATTACAAACCACAGCAGAGCAGCAATTTCTGCAGGACTTTGGTGGTTTTATAGCCCTTGGATCAAAGGAAACCCTCAGCTGAACAGGTTGATCCATGCATCTAGATTTCACTGATTATTAGCAGTTACCTGTGGGAAAGGGAGACAAGAGACACACAATGGGAATAGTTACAGAACTCTTAAACTCTAATTAGTAATAGATATTTCTGCAGGATGCTGCATTCAAGTATCAGTTGCACATAAATAATTCCTTGTCCTGGTGTTTTCATTAACTTACATGTAGAGGCTGAACTTTGGTGAGTACTCAATGCCAGCAGCATCTCAGATACCTGTAACCTCTTCACTTCTGGAGAAAAATGGGTTTCACTAAGGCTTTGTGTAAACTGCTGTTAACAACAAGGAATAATTACATGTTGGAGTCGGAGAGGTGACAGACACTTCTCTGAACACTAAACACTGACATTGAGTTCTTTGCAATGGGAGTCTTGCAGATTTCTATGTGAGAATTAACCAGCTGTGATGTGCTTCTCAAATGTGTAGGTTGTATCTGAGATGTCTGATAACTGCTTCGTGGATGTTGCTATGGCTAACTGACTGACCTTTTTTTTCTGTCTGTTTTCCCTTCCTGCTCACACACTCTGGACAGGACAATCTTTGTTCCCCTTCTGACATTCTCCAGCTAAACCTCAGCGTTAAAAGAACAGTTGAGACTCTTCTTTCCCTGGGGACAGATTCAGAAGAATCCAGTCTTGTGTCCCTTTCCGTTCAGCTCTGGGGCTTTGTGGTGTTTTACTGTACTCTAATGCTAACGCTCTGTATGTTCTATCGCTGGGTCTTTTTTCTCTAGTGAAGGATAGTTATGGTGCTGCTTCCTCCCTCCGTCACTGCAGTGCTTGGGAGCAGATTCTGGCCTTTGCCAAGACTGTGTATATGAAGTGCTTTGTTCCCCACGGTTGGGACAGAGGTGACAAGTACGATGTGCAAACACCTTGGTGCACCCACAGCACCATCTGTGACCCAATTCCCATTTGTATTTGCTGTGTCACGTTGAGCAGATGAAATGCTTTCCAAGGGAGGAGGTGCTGTCCCTGGGCTCGAGCGAGGGCTGAGGTGGTGCACGCTGTAGTCTGCTGACCAGTGGTGTAGTGAAAACTGCAGTGTCAGTTTGTGCCTCTGGTCCCCCACCTGCATAATGGGAAATGCAACCACTTTGGTAAATTGCTTGAGGATTATCTGATGAAAAATGTTAAACAACGTGAGTATTTTTTTCAATGTCAGTGTTCTTGATGCGATCTTACAGTCTTAGGAGACATGGTCTGGTGTTGTCCACAGAATTTTCTAACTGGTTTGGTTTTTTACCCCCAGTCCTTTATCCTGCTTCTGAGAGCATTTGATTTCTCAAATTTATAGACCTCCACTGTATTACTTTGAGTCAGGATTTTTAAAACAATTGTCAATGAATCCTGAGCTACTTGAACTTTGTAACAGTTCAAGCAGAAAACTTTCAGAGAAATTAAGCTCTTCAACAGCTTTAAGAGAAGTTTTACACAACAGAAAGAAAATATCTTCATGATCCTGTCAGGTGCTACAGAATGTCATAGCATTTTACTGTGATCTGGATAAGACTTACCAAAAAGTTGTTGAATTGTCACTTGATCTTGGGGTCACTTGACCCCAACCCAAGCTTGTTCCATGCTTATTCCCTTCTTCCTCTTATCCTGTCATTTTCAGAAACACTTGTATCATGCAGTTGCACAAATATAAGTCCCAGCTGCACAAGCACTCTTCACTGTTCTACAAAACTCAGGTAGTCTTCCATAAAGCTTCACAGCCTTTCCCTCCCCAGGGAAAGCATCCTGGTGCTTTAACGCTTTAATGTCTCAGGGACACCTCAGAACTTCAGGGCACTCCCCATGTGTGTAACAGACCATGTCTCCTCAGAGTGGAGATCCATTCAGGGAGCTCTGCTCAGAGACCAGTGACAGGTAAGTGTTCAGGAAATGGCTGTTCCAAATGTCTGTTCAATAAATTTCTGTTACATCTGCAAGTGCAGTAGATGGCTTGGAAGCCTAGTGCAAGTGGTGTTGGCATTCCAGCCATAACCTGGAACACCTCTGAAGCACAGTTTAAGGTACTCAGGAGTTCACTTGCAAATGTGGTCACTACCAGTAAAAATGTGTTATGTGGGTCTCACAAGCTCTTGTACCATGAAGTGAGTATTTATCAAAAGAGCAAGTAAGAGCTGCTGCCTTCTGTCCAAGTCACACAAAGTGTTCTGTCCAAGCCAAACATCACTGAGTAAAGAACGGACTTTTGACAGGGGGAGATTGTTTTCTTTTTAAGTAAGCTATTTTTGCACTGCTTACTGGTATGAACTAAAATGAACTCGGTTCCTGTGTTTCTTAACTTCTAATGAACACTGTGATAAAAGCTGCAAGGGGTTTTACACTAACAGTGCCTTCCAGTTTTTAAATTTTGTTTGTCATTACTGTCTATGGTATGGAGTCATTCCAGAGCTTTTCCCCCTTATCTGTTTGCATACATAAGAAAAAAGATAAGGCATATTTACTCAAGTTTACAAGTATTTTCTCAAAAAGCACAATTTTTTCATAGTAATATACATTTGCTGGAAACAAAATGTATTTTAGCCTGAGCATATGGCTTTCTGTGAGAACTGCAGTCGGGGCTCACTTGTTTTCTCTCTGCTCGGAGCTTTGCGGGAGGAGTGTTGGCTGCCACTGTTTGTGCTGAAGGATTTCTTTAACCTCAAAAATCAGTAAAGACTCAAGAAGTGGAGAAATGCCAGTTGATGTGAAAATAACACATGAAAAATAGTCTCTGTAGTCCTATAGGAAGGACACATTTGAGTTATTTTCTGTGGATACAGAGAACTGTTGGACATGTATCCTGACTGTTGTAGAGTGAGGATGGCCAGGAGGTGCCAAGGACTTCTGTAGGATGAGGCTTTAAACATCTTAGACTGAGAATAGCACAACTATTAATAAACAGTTTGAAACCTCTTTTTGCATGTTGCGTATTACTGTTATTCCTCAGGATGATTTTGGGGGCTGCCCACTAAGCAGGGGTACTTTGGGGACCCGAGTGAGTGGTAGTGACTCATTCCCTGCTCCCCAGCAGGGCTTCCCTCACAGCTGTAGCTGAACAGGAGGACTGTCTCCAAGAGGTGTGATTTGGAAAGGAAGCTGTGGTTCCTCTCCTGCTCTCTGTTGTAGCATATTGATCGTATTGAAGCAAAGCTTTGCCCTCCTCAAGTTCATCTACTTTAGTTTCATAAACTGCTGCCATCTCAGTGAGGGCAGAGATGGAAGACAATTTGCTGTTCCCCTTTTCTCCCACAATCCTTTTTCAAATTCTTACTTGTAGAGTTTTGTATTAAAAGAACACAAGAGATTAGCCCAAGGCCACCTTTCTTGAGAAATCAAGGTCATGGTTCCTTTGTCACAAGCAGAAATCTCATGTCCTACCCCTATGTGTGTGTGCTGCCTGTCCATAACATTTCATATTTCAGTCACCTTTTGCTTAATTTTTTTTTTCCTTTCAGTTGAGTGGTTTTCATCCATTTTGTTTTTGTCTTTGTTTTGTTCCCCATTCAGGAGCAATTATGTTTGCCTCTGCATATTTTAGAAGAGAAGGGTTTGACACAGGTAGCTGTGACTGTCCAGGCGCTCCTGGAGCTGGCACCCCCAAAGCAGCAGCCACTTCACCACTTGTCTGCTGTGTAAAGACCTCCGGGACCTTTTGGGTTACCTTGGCTAAGCAGAAGGACCTGAAGACTTTACTGCCCATGCAGTGCATCCAAACACACAGAGCTCTGTTCTAAGGAAATGAGTTTCCGTGATTCCTGACAGGAATGTTTTACTTCATTTCTCCATTTTTTTTGGAGATCACAACAGTTTCCAGTAACATTTTTTATTACCAATATTTTTGCCCCTTATTTAAAATAATGAGAGTTCATTGGGAGGAGGGCAGGGAATTCCAGTGGCTGGCTGTTGGAGCCAGCTGTAGAAACTGACCTTGCAGGATGAAGAAATGGATTTAGAGTTTGGAAAGCAATTCCTAGGGGAATTCGTAAAAAAAAAAAAAAAAAAAAGGGTGTTGCTGCAGTGGGCACACAAGGAATTAAATTTCTTTCCTTACCCACAGGGTGCAAAGAAATGGAGTTTCTTTGCCTCTAAAGAATGGCTATTTCTATTAAAATATTTTTTAAATTGCATCACACAATCTTAACCTGCTGTGCTTGATAACAGGGTTGAACCTCACAGACTTGTCACTTGACTTGGCAGGTCCTCATTACTAAAAGTCAAAGACAAAAAAACTTTTTTTTCCCCAGTGGAAAAATTACTGCATGTTTTCTCTGCCAGAAACACCTTAGTAAAAGATACTAAGTCACATCTATTCAAATGGGATTAATCCTATCAGCATTTTTGCTGGGTTCACTTTCTGTTTGGGTTTTAGCATGTCTTTATCTGAACACTTTTCCTACAGCAGTGGGGGGAGATTGCCCTTGTCTTCACATCCCCTTCTAGTGGTTTTATGGGATCACCAGAATCCCATGCATTTCCCTGCAGTGGGAACAGTGCCAGCCTGCCCTGCTGGTCATTAGAAGCCCTACCAGCTAAGGCAGCTCTGAAGGGTTAGACAAGGCTTTCAGTAAACCTCTTTATTAGTTGGAGTTTATGTAGAGAGATGTGCTGGTTTTACAGAACTGCTATTACTTCATTCCTCATTCCTTAACATAAAAATGAAAAATCACTCTACAGAAGTGGGAGAGGCAGCTGACAAATTTTGCATTTTCCTGGAAAGCTGATATGCAAAATAAAGACAGGTCTGTATGCTCTGGTCCTAGTGACAAAGCCAAGCTCACTACCAGATCAGTTAACTTCCCCCCCCCCACGAAAAGGCCTCACAAAATCCAGCTTTCCACCAACTCAGTTCCTTTGTCAGGTGTTGCCCAATTTAAAGCATCCCTGAACATTTTGCTATTAATACATGGTACATAAGTTCTGAAAGCAACTCCAAGCATCAGCCATATTTTGTCTGGGATATATTTGAAGTAGAATACACCGAGAGCATTTTATGCAGATAAAGGAAGAAGAAATGGCAACAAATTAGCTAAAAGTCACTTTTGCAGAAGTAAAACCTGCTGTGGGAGCTGCCAAGGACTGGTCTTAGCTGCATTTTTTCCCTTTTGATTTGCAGTTTTGTTTCTATTTTGTTTTGCTTCATGTATTTCTTTGAAGGGCCATTGTGGGGGTTGTTGAATCCCCTATTTCTCATAATTATTCCAGTTGCTTCTTTTCGGCATTGGTTAGTCACATTCCAAGAGAAGACCAGCTGGAAGGTGTTTAAGGGTGCCCAGCTGCAAAGAGAAACCTCCTCATGCTGGGCAAATACAATGCCCTGAGCCCTGCAGGAAATGGAAATGCCAGGAACTCACAGTACCCACAGGAAGAGCAGCTCCACACAGGCATTCTCGCCCCCTTAAGTAGTTTTTACTTAATTAAGTTTCACTTAATGCCATTGGTGAGGAGCGTTGGTGATTCCCACAGGGTTACACAGAGGTGTCTGAAGTGTCTGCTGCAGTTTGCTGGGGGGAAGATGCTGCCACTCGCAGGCAACACCACAGACACAGGCGGAGTGTTCCTGGTGTGTTTGCACGTAATTTGAGAGAGAGGGAGGCACTGACTTCATCTTGGTTTCCAACATCAGGTCACTTGTTGTTACAGGGACAGTTGCATTTAGCAGCACAACCCATCATGGGCTAAAAACCCCTGTTTGAAGAAAACCATTCCCTTCATGGAATTGCGAGGGTGTGGTGATTGCTCCAGCACTTAGGGAAAGTGAAACTTAACAGTATTCTGGTTGGTGGACATTTTGTCATTTAATAACCGTAGTTTTTAATGGGGTGAGGGCTCGAGTCTGACCTTCAAGGAAGAGCCATTTCCTCTTGCCCTGTGTGGCTCAGAGCCGTGAGTGGCTCATGGCCACCTGTGGCTGGAGGCCGGCAGGAGGCAGAGGGTCCCTGGCACCGGGTACTTTGTTATGAGCAACATTCGCTCTGGCAGTTTCATTGTAGGTAATTGTGTTAGTTTGACATTTGTAATCTTATATTTTCAGGCTGGCAAGCACTATATCTTGTCCGGGTGCTAAGGACAAAAATCCAAAGCTAAAGTTTCATTATACGGTTTACTTAATGTGTTACACCAAACCCACTTCAGTTCTGTCTTGCAAAATGCGTTAGGATTTTTCAGTGTAGTTACGTGCAATTTTTGTTGTATCCCATGAGAAGAGTATTTGAAAGAAAACATATATAAAGTTCTATTCTGTGTTTTAAAGCAAAGAAGAGACGGTTCTTCCTCTTCGGGGCATTTGTGTGCGTTGGAGAATGTGGGAGGGATCCACCTCAGTGTTTGGCGCTGCTGGTGTTCCTACACTGACTCCACGGTGTCACACTCCATCCTCAAACCTGGCGAGCCCTGAGCAGTGTCGGAGGCTCTGCAAGGACACACACTCCAGGTGTAGTGGCCCAGGCACTCGGGAGCCCCTAATGGCACTGGGGGGCCAGGGGAGAGCAGCTAGGGGTCCCCCCTTTGAAGGAGAGGCTTTTGTAAAGGCCCCGCCCCCTGCTTAAAATCCACCAGGGACAACTCCTTACAGCGCCAGAGCACCTCTCTTGTTCTTGGTAATAGGATGGCAAATGGTATTCTTACCCCTTTATGACTATAAATGGTTCTTTGAAAAACTGTTTTAGAAACAGAGGACTTGTAAGGTGAATTTGGACATCAAAAAATTCTTTTGTATAGATATTGTGATGTTCTACAAAGTGATCTAATTTTGTTATTTCTGAAAACAGTGTAAACGTGTAAGTAATAGAGTAAAGGATTTTAAAGCTTCATCCCATGCTGTATGTCTGTAAATACATTCCATAATTTCTGTTACATATAAATGTGTCTGAATATTGTATATTTTAAATCGCCTGTATTCTGCCAGTAGTGTGAACTTCTAGCACATTGATAATATAAAAGGAAACCATGGGTATTTGAAATAAAGTTTTAAAACTTACATGAATTGCAGTGTTTCTTCCTGCTGTTTCTCTGCTGCACCAACGAATGTCACATCCTCTGTGTCAGGTGTTTATTCCCCTTCGATATCATCCCAGCTGGCATTTGATGGACCTACTTTGATTTTCTGGTTTTCACAGTTAACCAGGACGGGAAAATACCAGTATTTTTACATATATTTTGCAGCCACATCAGAAGCTTTTTCTCAGGGGTATTTTTAACCTTCCTAGATACTGATTCTGTACAGAATTCTTTGCTCAACTCTCCACAGCCCCTTGTTTTTTCCTTCTCTATGTAAATCATACATTCTGGGTTTGGGGTTTCCTGCTGCCGGTCCCATTGCTCCTTGTTCTTATCCTTGTCTTTTAGCCTGTCTTGGGTGTGAACTGTAAAACTCACCCTTATTTCCTGACCCTGCTGCATTTGAAAGGTTTATTCTTAGCCAGAATGTTTAGTCCTCTTTTCATCCTTCCTCATCACTAGTTTTATTATTTTTTAAAATATAAAAATGCAAAGCCTAGAAATTGCCTGAGTTCCACAAACCCTCCCTGCTTGTGTTACCCTTGTGATGCTCTTCCCTGCTCACCAGGCTGCTCCAGCATCCTTGTCTGACCTGGTTACTCTGTCAGCCACTGGGGGACAGCTCCATTCCTGCTTCTGGAGGCTGCCCACCTCTCTTCAGGTATTTATTTCTCCTCCTCAATCTAAAGCTTCCTCCTAACCAGCTTCCCAATCTCCAGCCTTTCTTCTGCATTTAATTCCCAGGAAAACCCTCTCCAAAGAGCATATGATTTCCCTGCAGAAAATTCCATGGATGTATATTTTGATCCCATCTCCACAGCTGGAAAAATGGAGCAGTACCAACTGTGGCACAGTTCCTCCTAAGTCCTGGGTTTGGGACTCTGCTCCCATCCCTGGCTGTTCCAGCCTGTTTGCTTGGCAGCTGCACAGCCCAGACACGAACTCTGCTGCGGTTTCTGTGGAGTGAGGAGAGGCTCATACAGAGAGCAGCATGCTGGGATGAGCTGGTGCAGCCAAGGAGGCTGGGAGGAGCTGGATGGGTGGCACTGTGGCCGCAGTCCTCAGCCCAGAGTGTGTGGCAGGTCACAGGGTTCAGTCAGGTTACACACCTGTGCCCCGTCACTATCCCGCAGTGGCCTCATGTAGGAACCTGAGGTTCAGCACCCCAGCTTCATGGGAAAACACTCTTCCACTCTTTGTTTCCAGAGCTACTTCATTCTCTGCTGAGAAGCAAGTGCAGCCCAGTGTCAGATTTCAGTTGTTTGGCTGCATTAATAAAGTGTGCCTGGAGTTTGACATAAGCAGCAGGGATCTGCTGCCCTCCATCTCATCCTGCTATTCCTTAGCTCAGAGTCTATGGAGAGTTTCGTGATCAACTTCATTCCTTCCACCCAAGCAGGTCACCTGTTAACACCCCCATCACAACAGAAAACACAGGTCTGTGGTGAAATGAACTGAGTCAGCAGCACATGAAAAAGAAGAGTTAAAATTAGGAACTTAAGTCCCGGGTTTGCACTGAGGCACTTCCTGCAGTGGGGTGTAAGCCACAGTCCTGGCTCTGTTCCTGCCAGCCCTGAACTGGAGCAATCCCTGCTCTCAGCGCTGCATGGAGAGCACGGGAATTGAGAGAATTTGTTCAGGTTTCAAGCAAGCATCCATGCTCCAGCGGGAACACCAGCACTTCTAATGTGGTTTGTCTGGAGCATCTGAAACTTCAACACTCCCAAGTGTCCCAAGACAACCCAGTCTGCCTGATAAAGCACTGGTGCCTACTGCTCAGAGTTCTGAGCCACAGCCTCTCTGCTCATGGTTTCAGCCATCTCACATGAACCTCAGAGCTTTTGGCTCAGTTCAGGTTGGACACAAGGAGGTTTGGATGGGGCAAGCACTGGGTGGTCACAAAGAGCAGACCAGACTGTATAGTTTGAGATCATCTCCTACATGGGTGGGAAACCAGGCCGCAGGGCTTTTTGCACAGACCTGCATGTGGACTAATGGTGTCAGGAGCAGGGATTCCCTTTTGGTAAAAAGCAACTCGGCTCCCTGCCTTCAGCCCTGTCTCAGTGTGCAGTGGTGCTGGCTGGGGCGGTGGGGATGGCTGTGACAGAGCAGCTCCTGTAGGCAGCATGGCTGGCTGCCTTTTCCCTTTGTTCTTCCCCTTGGTCAGAAGGTATATGGAGCTATTCTCTCTGTGCACTGACACTGCAGGACTGTGGGAATGGAAACCTGTGTGCTCTGACTGCACTTGTGTTTGCACTTGCAAACTGCTCATGTTCTCCCCTGCTGAGCTGATGCCAGTGCTGGAGGCACGGAGAGCACAGATGAAGCCCATCTAGGGGTGCCTTGGCCTCCCTGCCTGACCCAGAGCCACGGCTGGTGGTTTGGGGGTGACAGAGGAGATTCTGGGTGCAGAGCATCCCATGCTGGTGAGTTACTGGGCTGGTAGCAGCCTCTCACTGTCTTGTTTCCATAAAGCGCTTTGCAGGGGATGTACTGTTTCTCACTTCTTTGAGGCAAATCCCCTTTCTGCTGGGAAAAAGGCTGTGCAAGGGCAGCTTCACCACAACTGTGTCTGCAGGAACTGTGTTCTCCAGAATTGCCCAAGTTCGGTTACATGGTTTATTTTGTCCTGTCGGACATACCATAGTGCCCTGGCCAGCAACAGTCCTGGAGTACATCTATGGCCACTTTCTTTATTTATCTCTTTGCTCCAGATTTTTCCTTGCCTGCTTCTTTCTCTGCTAACTGTCCCTTCAAATACTTCTCGAGCTCCTGGTAGGGGCCAAGGAATCTGCGCACCATTGTACCTTTCCACCAGGCCTGCACCTGGAAGTGAGAGAGAGAGAGAGGCCTGAGAGGAAATCACTTGCTGGGGTACCTGGTACAGCTCAATGCCTGGAGAGTCTTTCCAGTGCTCCCCAGCAGCAGAAGGGAGCCCTCAGCCCATGCAGCAGCCTTTGGGCCTGGTTGTGCCAAAGGCATCTGCAGCTGGGCTGGTGGCGCCTGTTGTTGGTGGCAAGGGACAAACAGGAGCACTACCCCATGACCCCCCTGTATCACCTGTGCAGTGATGTTTACAGGAGACTGGCTGCTCCCCTTTCATTTCCCATCTCAAATCTGCAGCCAGCTGCTGGCTCTGAGTGTGCCCCAGCAAAAGGAACAGGCTTTGTCCTTTGCTTGTGGCACCACACACCAGCTAGCTTTCTTGGGCTGTTTTCTTCCTGGACAAAGCCTGTGGCACAGATTTTTAACTCCCAGGTGCTGCTGGAGCAGCACTACTTCAGCTTTGCTCCCCTTTACCTTCAGGGCACTCTTCTGCTCCAGGGCTTCTTGCTCTATTTGTTTTTTCTTGGTCTCCTTGTCTGTCCGGTCAATGATGATGGTTGCCTGGAATGTCAGGCACTGCAAGAAAGCACAGGGGTGGCAAAAGCCATGACAAACACATCCCCTAAACTGCAAGGCCATCCTTCAGGGCCAACTGTGCCCAGCCATTTGCCGGGGCACAGCTCACCCGGACCTTGGTGCAATGATTCTTTGCTGCCTACAGATCTTATCCTTGCTATACAATTCCCACAGCCCTGCCTGGACTGCTCACACCCGTGTGTTGTGGTGTCCCTCTGCACCCGGGAGCTCCAGGGCAGCCCAGGGATAATGTGTGAGTGGAGGCTTTCCTCCCCCATCTCCATTATTTGATCTTTCCTAAATCCAGATGGCAAATGTTGCTCATTACCACCGTCAGTCCTCAGGCACTTGGAGCTGCTGCCAAAGTGAAACCTCTCACGGCCTGGGTGTAATTAACCCCCTGATCCTGTCTGTAAAATGCCTGGCTGATGCCTTCCCCGGCAACAGCTGGTGGTGGGGAGGACATTTGGTCCCCCAGGCTAAGCAGCAGATGATGTACAAACACACTTGGGACACTGAGATGACAGTGTACAGAGTGAAAAATGAGCCCACAAGCAGGGAAACATCCAGCTCCATCCCATCATTTCCAGCCCACAGATGGGAAGGAATGTTTACAAGTAAATTCCTTCTGGTTTTAAAACACACATTTTTCTAGATACGTCTCTCTGTTCTGTGCTGCTGTTCTGTTGTGATCGGAGCCCAGCAGTTAACCAAGAACCCAGTGGAGCAGGAATGGTTCTACCCAGAATCAGCTCTCTGATAAGAGCTCTGTGCAGCTGGAAATGTGTTTCTGCAGGAGGGGATGAGCTGCCTTTTCCAGTCTCAGCCTGTCTTACCCTGGTCTTCCTAGGAGCAGATCTGTTCACACTCAGTCAGCAAAGTAAGGTGGGACGTAGTGATGGGATGGGACATTACCTCTCCCCCTCACAAAGGCTGTCACTAGCTCTCTCCTTACTTGCTGGTATTTGAAAATAGCTATAGGGGAAACATCATCATCCCTCCTTGATGTCACAGGTGGCAAATAGAAGATGACATCTCAGCCGTTGTCTTCCCAAGACAAGTGCTATAATCACAGCCTATGCCTCAAAATTACTGATTTTTTTCTGTGGTCCTGGTTCCTTATCTGAATGAGTGTAGGAAAAAGCCCAATGCAATTTCACATGGCTTAACATTGAGATGCTGCTGATGTCTTACCTCTTTGGCAAATCTCTGCATCGTTTCCAAGTTCTCTGCCTTTAATGCTTTTAGATCATCCATTTCTTCATCTTTTGCAGCAGTGTCTTTATTATACTTCTCTATCCAGTATTCCAGCTTCTCTTTCACCTTCTGCATGGAGAGAGAGGGGTGCTCAGCATGGTGCAAAGAGTGCACAGGTGACAGGGTTGCTACTATTACATGGCCTGCTTTCAGGATGGTGGTGAGAGTCCTGTAAATTGTGCATGGTCAGTGTTTTCTTCTCATCTTGAAAGGATCAAGCTCCTAAGACTACTCATAAATTACTGCAGGGCCAGTTTTGTGCAGCCAGTCCTGATGAAGCAAGTGACAGCCAGAAGCCATTCTTTGTGTGTATGCAGAAGGAGGGGGAGGTTAAAAAGCACAATTTGTCAGTGGGAGAGCTTTTATCCTCTGCCTGACTCCCTACCCACTTTCTGGATTAAGTTCAGCACACCAGGAATAAGGTCCCAGGGGACAGCACTTCACACTATTTCAGGTTGTGAACTTGGCTTTGTGTTCATGAATAGGGCAGGTGTTTCTGAAACAGTCACCCAGATGACTTCCTCCTATTCAGCAATAACTTCTCCATAGCAACCATCGTGATTGCTTCCATGGAAAAATAATCTGAGGAAAAGCATCAATCTCATTACAGCATCACAGCTGGACACACAAGGGGGATGGAGGGCATGGTCATCCTCCTGTCTGCAGCCCCTGCAAAGCCACCAGCTGCTGTCTGAGCACAGAGGAGCTGCTGCTGGGCTGCCTGCTGGAGGTCAGCCAAGCTCAGCATGTACTTGGGCAGCCCCCTCGCTGGGAGCATTGATCAGAACAAAGCTCTGGGGTGCAGAGCACACTGTTCAATTGCTCACAAGATACAGCACTGGTTTGCACTCAAATTACATCTTTAAAAACTTATTATCTCCTATTAAATTTTGTACTGGCAATGACGTCAGGTACCCTGCAGTAGTTCAGGTTTTCTTCCCATCATACCATTTATGTGAGGCTTTGCAGCATTATTCCCTATAAAGTTATTCACTGTTAATAATAGGAATGCTCTGAACCTCTGAATCAACACCGCAGGAACATTCATGCTTCTAAAACTGTGTACAATAGTTACGGTTTAGCAGTGATCCCACCTCAAATCTTCCTCAGATAAGGCTGGACTGGCAGTTTGTGTCATTCCCTCCTCAGTGTCCCTCCCCTCTACACAGCCTTTGGGTCTCTCAAGCTGCTGCCCTTACTTTGGTTTCTTCACAGGGGTGCTGGGAGCCCCAGCAACTGCCAAGGAGGGTCTAAATAAAATTCCAAATACAACCATCTGAGAGAGGAAAAATCCATAACACCTGAATAAACAATGTAATTCATTACATGAACCCTAAATTTAAGAAAATGTATCTATACGTAGTAAATCCTAAGCTTGGGAGAGCTGGGTCAATTAGTATTTGAGGAGAAGTAATCATTCAAACTGCAGCAGTCATGAATCTGGTACATTTGATGGAGCAGTAACTGTTTTCCTTTAAGCAATAATCAATGATATGGTGTTTATAGGTTTCTATTTTAAGCATCAGCTGACAGTCACACATACTTGATATTGTTGCGTGAGGAAATTTTCAGTTTCAGTGTGGAGTTGAATTTCCTCATCAGTTTTGCTCTTCAAATTCTGTAATCAGAGCAGACAGAACACATGTGAGACAATGAATGTTGCTGTCTATGTGTGTGCACCCACTGCTGCTGAAAGTTGACTAAAAGTGCTGGAGCTCTGTGTAGTCCACAGACATTATTTCCAGTGATAAAATCAGCCAATGCAGTACTTGCTCCTGGGTCATCCATGAAAAAGGGACAATTAGATCAGACCTTGATCAGTCAAAAAAAGATGCTTGCAAAACCAAAACAGTTTTCTAGCCCAGTTCACCTTATGGCCACACAAGCTGCTCTATCTGTATAATCTGCTGGGGGCACTACTGGGAGCTCATGTTGCTAATACCTTGTAACCACTCCTTTGGATATACTTCTGGGTCTGTTTTTCTGACCATGGCATTACTTTAAGCATTCCCTGTCTCCTAAAGCCATGCCATCCTTGTTGTGGCTGTTTGCAGCATCATACAGAGAAACAATAGAAGAGATAAAAATGCCTAACCCCAATGAGTTTCCTGATCCAGTTCAAACAGCTGTGCTGGTGACTATAATGGAGAACAGAGAGGGTATCTGGGGAGCGAGGAGGGCTCTTCCCTTACTAGATGGAGATGTCTTCCAGTATGGGCCATGGGGAAAGGTTTACCTGGATTTCCTTCTCCAGGGCAATCTCTGCATTGCTGCACTTTCTCTGGGTTAGATGGATCTGAAGATCTGTGTTTCTCTTCATGTAGTAGCTCTCTGTGTTCCATTTGGCCGTGTTCTCTTGAAGCTTATCTTTGAGGCGATCAATGGCCTCATCTCTGTTCTAGTGGAGACAAAAGCAGCACAAAAGCAAGCCTGGAGACTGAGGTCAGCTGACCATTTCTTAATCTTTCCACCCCCTGATAAGGTCAGAAGAGAAATAGCTATAGGCTTCACTTTCCCTGAATGTTGCTCCATTTCAAGGAGCATTTCAAAGGTTAGTTTGATCTGCAACCCATATAGACAGCAATAAACCCATCAGCAAGGAGTGATTGCCTCTGGAGAGGGAAGAATGAGGAACAGAGTGGGACAAGAAGGTAGGCCTGCTCTCTGGTCAAGAAATTGTTTCAGTCATGTTTAGGATAAATATGAAAAAAAAAAATTTAACCACTTAAAGGTAGGCTTTACTTTTACTAACACCTTGCATTAGACCATCTCAGTGAGTGAGCATCTCTAAGAGGAGGATAATGTCTCAGGCCCACAAAAGCCAAAGTTTGTTATCCTAAAGTATATTCTATTCCTTGGATTTATTTTTTTTTCCTAGTTATGCAGCAGCTGTATAAACACAGCCTTAGGAACAGGTGCAAATCTAATCCTGTCTTGCTGTATTTTCAAACAGTTCTTTCTTGAAATCTTACCAGGTAGAAGGTGCCCACTTCATTATGAAAACATACACCCAGGGCAAAGAAGCAGTGTCAAGGAAAAGCTGGCTATGAGGTCCCTGCCTCTCCCCATGCCTTGCTTTGCAATGGAGCTGAGGTTTCCTTGGGCAGAGAGTTTTCTGTTCCCTAGAGTTCTCCCATAGCCCAAAATCCTGAATGGTTTGACCAGCTTCTGGAGCATGCTTGGGAAGCAAAGTGCTTTTGCTTGATTTGGGATTGCTGTTTTGTTTACTCTTTTTTTTTATTAATTTATTTGAATAACAGATAAAGGTTCATTACCCTGGGGTTGGAACTTGGGTCAAATGCCTGTAAAAGGAAGACTTTTTTGTCTAGTTAAAAAGGTCATCAAAGCTTCCTGTGTAATTATGCAAGATCAATGTGAATGCACCCAACTGCTCCATTACAGCCTTTCTCTTTGCTTCCGTGCCATGATGTGGTGGGTATGGTATTCATCAGCCAAACCTCCACAGCTGAAGATGAAGATGAAATACCACAGTGCTGGCATTTTTTGAAACCCACATATCTTGTCTCTGAAGCACCTCACATTCCTTAGCTGTGTAAACATGGAAAAATGCCACAGGAAGAAGCCAGCTCAATAGTGCTGTGTTTGAAAGCCCTTGCAGCATGACTCATTTGGAAAAGGTCTCCTTATAAGAACAGTTTGGAACAGTTGAAAGGAAAGTACTTCCTTCTGCACCCCTTGTCATACATAGGAAGAGCAGAGTACATTTATGAGGCAGGATAACTGGGGCCTTGGCTAATGCTGTTTTGTGAGTCCAAGGGTGTTCACATGTTTTTGAAGGTTTCAAACACCGATATTATTTTTATGGCCATATCATCATATGATTGCAGAGACAGCTACATGCATGAGTTGTTTATGCCTCATTAAGGTTTCTGGCCTTTATTTTCCCTGGCATGGAATTTTGGTGGCCATTGGGAGGAGTTTTGTTCCTGGTCAGTAGACAGGGGATATGAGTGTACCACTCTATTTTGAGATTGTCTTCCTGGGTCATAGTGAAATTGTGTCTCAGCAGAGAGACTAAGGAGATGCTAATTAAAAAAAAAACAAACCCACAGCTTTTTGTGGCACTGAGGCTCAGGAAAGTCAAGCACCGCTGATGTCAGTGTGTTACTTCTATCATCTAAAGATCTGTAAACTGGCCAGAAAATAAGGGTTTAGCCTAGGTTACAAAGTACTCAGAGAGTTGGGGCAGAGCATGAATTTCTCACCAGGTTATTTTCTTTTTCATTTCACATTTTAGTAAAGAAAAAAGTGCTTCTGATCCTTGTGCCCCAGACCTCAGCTGGAATGGGGGCCGGTGTGCTCTGTTGTTTTCTCCATTGAATGGCATGTCTGTGGTTTGGATTTGGTCTGTGGTGTTGTAAAACATCCTGGTTAGTGGTGGGGAGTCTGGGGGCTTGGTTACACAATCCAAAGCAGACGGGAAGTGAAATGCAAAACCCACTGGTGGTTTACAGCAGCATCTGCCTGGCCAGGGAAAGCTGGCTGCAGGCGTGAGGGCAGCTCCTGCTGCAGGACCTGGTGCTGCAGAGCTGGGGCACGTTTGGCGTTTGGCTGAGGGTAGTAAATGCAGCAGTAAATGCGCAGAAGCTGTGGGTACCATCTGCAGAGTGTGCTGTTCCCTGAACTTCAGGGACCGTAACTGGGAAAATGAGTTAATATTTATTCATTCTGGTTTATCATAGCGAAGGTCCACGCCAGGACACGGAACACTTCCATAGCTGATGCAGTAAATCTCTGGGCTGCTTATTTGGGATGACTTCAGCGTTGAATCTGCCAAACCAAATCATCCCTCGTGTCCAAAACTATCAGAAAACTGGCAAAGACCAAGATCAAAACCCAGGAAATAGTTGTCAGGAGCCAGTCTGCTTCACAAGCAGGTAAACAAGCTGGTTTCTCTGATCTCTCAGCTCACAGACATCAGCTCAGGGGCCTGTCTGCTGTCACCTGGTGCCACTTCCCCACAGATGCTGTTTGGCTGCAAAAGCAGCTGCACTTAGCTGGAGACCTTATCCACACTCCTGTGTTTTCACTTACTTTGATTTATCTCTCTTGTAAGTGCCACCAAGATCTCCCAGCTCTTCCACAGCAATTAGTGTTTACAGTCATAAAATACAGCTGGTTACAAAAATAGCCCACAGGAGTAAACAGTCTGAGGAATTCTCCAGCAGTCCAATGCTGCCCATTTGGCAGGGGAAGGAGTGCTGTGCTCTGTGCTGACAGAGGGCCCTGCTCTGCCTTGCTCCCATACCGAGTGCTCAGAGCTCAAGGCTCTTCTGGCAGCTGCAGCCTCTCAGCTTCCAGAGCCTGGAGATGTGCTTGGATCCACGCACCTGCTGCAGCCTGGGCTTATTCCCCTGAAACCTCAACAGGCAGCACTGCAGGCACTTCAGTCAGGCTTTGCCTGCATCACTGTCCCAGCTCCAGAACACCCTCAAGGAATGTCTGTGCCCAAGGGACAACAAGGCTGGCTGTCACCTGGTGAGGACAGAACGGCTTCTGCAGCCCTTGGCCAGCTCAGCACCGATGGCAGCAGCTGCGGGAGAGCCCCGGGAGGGACAGTTTGCTGGCAGAGGGAGCAGACCTGTTGGCAGCAGCACTCCTGTGGAAAATCCTGCCCCCCTGGAGCCAGGTTTGGGTCTAGTGCACCAGCTCCAAGTCCTGCAGTGCTCCTTGGGGCTCTGCCAGCAGTGAAGCTCAGCACCATCACAAACCTTGTGCCTTCTACTGTAATCATCCTGTGCAGTAGAAACCTGCACCAGTGGGTGTGTATATGTGTTTAAAGCATTCCACAGAACACTCCATTGATGCATTTGTCCTCCTGGGAGAGGAAAAGGGAAGAAACATGATGGGTTTTAATCTTACTACTAAAAGCATGACTGAGTGATGCACTGATACAGTGGATCTGGGTGTGTTATGACAACCGATAAAGAATTAAAGTTGCAGACATGTTTTCATTGGTACTGTGGTGCCATTAGATTTCTGTCTGTTTGGTAGCTGTAACATTACTGCTTGTAATAAAATTACACCACTTCCTGCACACATGTATGACATGAGTACACCACAAAACCTGCAGGACAAAAAAAGTCTTCAGGTGAAGAGCAATGCAGGAATGCTAAATTTTACATTCCTAAATTTTTATGTTAAGCCGTATAATCCTCTATGATATTAATCTGTTTCAAAACCTACACAGACTGCTTTTACTTGTCCAGGAAACCAGAGAAAGTGAGAATTTTTATAAAACTAGAAAATGAACACTGCAGCAGCAAACAGACCCTCTTCAGTCAAACCAGAGCCACCAGTGCTGCTCCTGCACAGAGAGGTAAGAACAAAACCAGAAGCACCATTTCAGTTAGAGACATCAGTGCTTTCCAAGAGAAAACAAAATAAAAAAGAACATTTAGCATTTGATTTGTGTTCCATTAGAAAGAAAAATGAGCTGAGCAGGCTAATACACTATTAATTAGCATCTTTTTAAGAAGTAGAAAGGCCGAAAATACAAATTCACAGCAACATGAGTGAGACAAAGGCCGTGTTTTTCTGGTTCCAGGATTAGATTTGCTCGCTTTTTTTTCTCAGCCATGTAGGCTTTTGTCTACAGGTCTGTGCATTATTATTGTTGTTCAAAGTACTCCAAAGTCAGCGAAGCTGTATTTTTATTTTTAATTAGTTGGCAAGGTGACAAATCATGCAAGAGTCTGTAAAACTGCCTATGGGAAAATCCCATATGAAGTAAATAGAAATTATTCTCCCTTGGGAGACACAGTGAGACACCATTATTTTTGGCACAGGAGGAAAGCAGTACTTTAAAGTAGTCTTTTCTTTGATTTGTTATCAAAGCTGAAACTATAAGGAAGCTTAGGAAAGGACTTTTAAGCTTGAAATATTAAAAAAAAATCCCAGATGAGTGCAAATCCCACTTGATGAGGCAAAGCTCAAGAACTGAATTAGCACTGAAAGGACAAAAAAAAAAGAGCTCCCTCTCAGGATGGGCTCTACACACATTTTTATGACTGCAGGAGGTAGGTGGGAGAGGTGCAGGGTGGGACACAGAGAAGTGGGCCTGACTGCAGAGTGCCAGAACACTGCTGCTGCTACAAGACAGGATGATTACAGTCCCTGGGAAGGTACCAGGACTGGGTACATAAATTGTGTGCACAGACATGGTGAGGTTTGAAGAGCACCACACAGAGAACTATCTCATCACATTCACCAGCCCGAGGAGTGGGAGAGCAGGAACTTCCCAGGAGGCATCAGAGTCTGACTGAGAAGGGACAGTGTGAGAAGCAAATAGGTCCTTCATGTTTTTACAATTGTCCTGTATTTACAATTAAACTCTCCACTATATATGCATCCAGGCTGCCAACACAAAACCTTTGTGTTCTACAAACCAAACTTCACCAGCATGTCTGGGGCTTAAAATTCCTCTCTCTAGTCAACTATATCCTGGCTTGATTACTGTCCACACGTTTGTCCAAAGACAAAACTCAGTGACACCAATTCTTTCCTCAGATGCCTTTGCTGTCCTCTTGCTCACTACTGAACCAAGTGTCAGATTCTTGTTCCTTCCCTCAGCCCCTGTACAGCTCTGCCCCAGCTTGCCTTCTGCTTGTTTGCTATCACACATCTGCCTCAGCAGGGCCTGGCTACATTTCCATGTTGAATGAGCATCAAGTCTGAGCTGTCTGGTAAGCATCAAAGTGATAAGCCATTCAATTGATCTGCACTTGTGTAGCAAGTCTGACATTTCCAGAATGCCCCATATTTACTGTGCATGTACACACCCTTTGCATGATGCAGACAGAAGGGCTGAAGCTTTCCAGAAAGATTAGGTTGACAGCATATGTGCAATAACATTGATCTGCCCTTGTGCAGGCATGTTTGGGATTTTCTGATGTCTGGAAACCTAGAAAAATAGATTAATAGAATGACACTTTCCCCAGAGGAAAATGTAGGTAGAAAGACAGCCTGCCTCTATAATAGGTGTCTGTCTTTCTCACTCCCTTTGGCACACTTCCTTCTGTGCCAAATGATCTGTCATGACTGAGTATGACAGAACCTTAGATTCCGTTATCTGCACATAACCTCTTTCGTACTGATTGCAGGTATCTATGCTTTGTCACTCCCAGCAGATTTTTGACCACAGTCTCTCATGATTATGATAATTTAGAGCTCCCATTTGAAAACCATCAGAAACTGCTCTCGAAGTCATTAGAGGGGTTATTCCAAATACAAATCATTATTGTAATTATTCTACCTCTGTACTCCTAAGTGGTGGCTCATTGTGTATGGCCATGGCCTGAGTGCTAATTCCTGGGCAGCAGAGGCCAGCTTCCTAACAGGCTTCCCTCTGGCAAGATGCCCAGTGCTAAGTGCTCTCACCTGAAGGTCTTTATCAGTTTGTTTCTTGACATCTTGCAGCTGTTTCTGGAGTGCCTTTATCTCCTTCTTTCCTTTTTCCTCCCTGAAGTGGGAAAATACAATCATTTCAATATATTAAAAAATACAAGAACTGTTTACCTAGAAGGGGAACTTCCTGTCTCCTGATACATTTTGGTAAGACAAAGAGAGACTTATCACCAAAACTACTGACTTGGTTAGTAAATCCTGAAAGAAGAGGTGCACAGACTGAGCAGGGCAGATGGGAACAAGTGGGAGAACAAACCAAAAAAACAGGGGATGCTCTTGTTGAAAGCCTAGAATGGATTTGAAGATTATCCAATTACTATAACAGGGAAGATGCCTGTCATTGAGTCACAATTTCTACATAGGCAAAATGTCTGTGATTCTATGCAGAAACAAGCCTGAGCAGCAGAGAGTATCAGATTGTGTTATTATGTGTATGAGAATGTTGTTTCTTTCATATCAGACCTAAATCTTCCAAAGAACACTGCCCCAGGTTCTGAGATCCATGAAGGGATCTGAGTGAAGACCAAAAGCTAGAGAAGTGTTCATCTGTCTAAAACAAAACAGATGCGGTAAATATTCTAGGCATTATTATCTTATTTCACTCAGAGTGCTTCTCTAAGCTTTTATGCTTATGATTAGTTTTAAAGCCAGTAAATACTACAGTTGGCCCCTGAAACTTTGTATCCTATTCCAACCTTACAAGCACACATGCATTTCATTTTCAGAGTCCTTATCTGGGTGACTGATGAACAAAAGCTCCTGATAAGGAGTCCCTGTCATCTCACTGCAGATGGCTTTCAGAGCAGTGTATTTACACAAAACCAGACAACTATTTATTATCTTGAAAGACAGATCAAGTTCATTCCATGAAAAAAATGTATAGTACAACATGGCTAGATATGATTGACAGAAGGGGATTAAAAGGATTATGTCCTTTCTGATTATAATTTGTCTGTACTTTTCTACCTTTCAGTATTGGATAGTTACTGCACAGCCAATTGCTAATCTCATTCTTGCTTTCTGTCCCTTCCATGGATAAACAATAAATCCCTTGGTTTTAGGCAGTGGAAGAGTTGGGTTTCGTGCTTGAAGTCACACATTCCACTGAAGCTGGGGATTGCCCTGGAGGCAGATCCCTGACCCACCACAAGAACTGTTCCAGTAGCTTGGATTCCTAACAAATCATGACTGAGAGCAGCTTTGCTGTGCACCCTCAATGATGGGCCTGAGTTGCTACACTGAGGTAAAGTGCTCAAATATTTGTCTGATGACTGCAATTCTGACAGTTTTGGGATTGAAACAGAGGTTTAATGCTACAAAACCACCAAACCTCTAGAGCTCAAAAGCTTCAGCTAAGAAACCACCAGTTTGAGCTGAGATGATAACAAATGTATAGCCTAAAAGATTTGGGACAGAAGAGAATCACAGTACAGTGGCTGGTGGATTAGCCTTAAATAAGACACTTGTCACCATCTGTGCTATCCCCTCACTGCTGCTGGGGAAAAGGAGCCTATTAGCATATGGGTCAGAGCAGATTCTCCTGGGCATCAGGCAGCCTAAAGGCCATATGTTGCTGGCCCTGATTTGAACAGATTCTCTGCTGGTCTGGCTTTCACTGGAGACAGGAGTTAAAGATCAAGGAGCTCCTATATCACATTATGTTTTAATTGAAACGAGGCATTTGCACTATTTCAGCCACTGGTGTTCACCGTGGTCAAAGCTCAAGCAATTCCTAGCTCAGATCAGTATCAGACCCATCCACTGTTTCTACCCAAGGGGGAAAAATTGCAATTTGCAAAGCAAACTGAATAATTCAAGTTTTGAAAAGTACCCCTTCTGTATTTTTGTTGTATTGGGTTTTATTTCCTTTTCAGCATGAACTGAGTGGGAATTACTTTCAGCATTTAAACAGGGAAGAACTATACAAAACACTGACCTGATGAGGATGTCATAAAACTTGTTCTTTTTTGCCTTCTCTCTCTCATTAGCATCTGTTAGGCTACTAAATGCTCCCAATTCCTCCATATTTTTAATAGTGACTGTAATTACATCACTTGCATACTGCCTGCCAGGAAGAAAAGAAACACAACAATACTTTACAGGTGCTGGTAGCACAGTGTCTGGCACTTTTATTCATTACTGTTTACAATAAAATAAATGTAAGGAAATAAAAGGTCCCTTTTCTAGTCTTATGTCCTGTCAAACCCAGAAGTGCTTCTCCCATGGTATCTGCTTATTGTACATCTGGAGAATTCAGTATTAGGAGCTGATTGAAGTTTATAATTTTAAAATGCTGCCCTGCATGCTACTCTGGGAAATTGCAGAGGCACAAACACATCCATGCTGTGCCAGATGTGTTGCCATTAAGAAGGCTGCTGGCCTGCAGTAGTGATGACAGGTGGATCTTGGAAAATGAGACCTGGCGATGCAATACATGGGTTTGTGCAGTTTATTAAATGTTATGCAGTTATTAAATGTCATGATGCATTTACACTTTAACTGCATTTTCCTCATTTGTGTTAGAATCTTAAACCCATGACAGAAGCCAGGATGCAGAAAAATGCATACTGAGCATTCAGCTCAATAATCTCTTTAAAACCAAAGGTTTCTGGTATTTCTGCAAATCAGGGCACTGCTTCAGGTGCAGGAATAAAGAAAGAAAATCTTTAGTCTTTATATACGTTACCTTTTCTGTAATGCCTATGCACGCCACAGAAGCTCTATGTGCCCTGCAGAATGACCGAGTTCAAAAATAAGGCTCAGATCTCCCTTTGCATCTGGGATCTGCTGAAGGAACCTGACTCCAGGTACTAGAACATGAGCATTGATTAGTGCCTGGCATGATTTCTACCCAGGCAACAATTATCAAGGGGGTAATGTTTTACATCTCCATTCAGAATAAACTGCTGGTCATTAGGTAGCATCCAGAGGCACACAAAGGCCAGAACTAAATGGTCTATGAAGGATACCACTGCTATCCTTAGAGGAACTCCTTCCACACAGAGACTGATGTACTCTGGCAGTGGGAGAGCGAGGAATTTGTATTTTTCTTTTTATGAGGTAGACTGAGAGCTTTACAGCTTTGAGCATCCCTCACAGGTGCTTCACTCACCTGTCAGCATAAATTTTTTTTAGCTTCTTTGCAGCCCGAGTGGTGCGTTTCTTGGAGCTTTTGGAAGAATCCTGGGTGCTTTTCTGATCTTCAGTTTTTTCCTGCTGCTGATTCTGTTCGGTGTTTTCCAGAGCCGTGGAGGTAACTGCTTCCCCACTCTCTTGCTTTGCTGACATAAGGTCTGGGGAATTAATATCCAGCTCCTCCTGGATCATTTCTTTTATTTTCTGGATGGGAATGAAAGGGGATAAGGGAAATAAGAGAATAAGGGAAGGGGGAAAAGGGAATAAGAGAGACCTGCTTGCACATTGTACAGCAGAACTAAACCCTCTGCAACATTATGTGAGAGGAAGGAAAATTAGTAATAAATTAGAATGAAGCTATACTGAGAGCAGCTGGTAGTGCATGTTACATTCTGCAAAGAGTGGAAGATCAGAAACATTTCTATTGGTTAGTTTTGAGCACACAGTGTAGCTCATTGAAGTTTATGGGCTCAGAAGTCCTAAAGTGACAGGACTAGAAAAGGCCTAAAAAGGTGCATTAATCCACTCCAGAGGATGATGGTTCAGACTGTTAATCTTAATTTGACATGTTCTTAATGGCCTCCAGCAGTAGAGACTACACATCCTCCTGTCAGTGCCAGCACCTCACAACTTTCTTTACCACAAGAAAGTTTTTTCTCCTCAACAGCATTTGAACACCTGGCTTGTTGTCCTGGTCTCCGTAGGCACGGAGAACAAGTTGTTCCCTCCTTTTTTGCAGCAGTTTTTACAAACTGGAAGACTGTTAGCCTGTTTCTCCCCCTCCTGCTCTCTGTCTTAGATATTTCCCACTTCCCGTCACCACCAGCTTTCCCTACAATATTATTGTTATAACTAGAGCTGTGTGGGAATAAAGGTGATAGACTTTCTGTCTGCTATCTGCTTAGCAGGTTTTTAAGAGTAACAGTAGAGGAAATGTAACATGAATTCAAAGAAAAAATTCAAAATATTGTCAGCTCTCTCCTTCATGGAAAGGTATCTTGTGATTGAGTACAATTTCATTAGAAAAGGAAAAGCCCCCAAAAATGCAAAAGCACACTATAAAATCCACTAAGCTCTTGCTTCTAGGAAATTCTCTGGTTTATGTGTTCTGGATAAAATGCAGGTATATACACCGGGACATTAAAAGAGAACATTTTCTTGCCTGTCTACCAGCATTTCTGTGGCTGAACACTTCATAACAGCACTGCTGACTGCAGCTAACACAGTCTCTGCCAGCCCCATCCCTGTCCACAGCTGCCTGCTCCCCACCCCGGCTGCTTGGGGAAGCAGACAGAGAACTCACTGTGATGAAACATTTTCCAGCAAAAAGGAAAAAAAAAGAAGTTATTTTTAGCAGCACTAGTCCTCAGTCCAGATCCTTCCACAACCACACACACATTTGTGCCAGCAGAACAGAGGGCAGAGTTAAAACAAGTGGTCAGGGCAGCAGCTGTGGATGCCAAGAGTACTTCCAAAAAGTTCTTGACAGGCAAGTCAAGGAAGGCTCTATTAGAGATCTGAGGTGCTGCTGCAGTCTGTGAGGCCACAGCAAGGGACTGCTTCATGCTGAGTGTTTTAGACAACTCTGGATTGGGATGGATCAGCCTCTGGCAGTGCCTGACTCATCAGCGACTAGAGAAGGAGGGAAAGTGACTATGTGCTTAATTTTTGGACTGTTAAATTTACATTAAATGAATCCCATGCAAAGCATATACAGACTAAGGAAAATTGCATTGCTAATTAGTAAAAAAAATGGCTTAAATAGCTGGTTGGTGACAACTGTACTTCAGAAAGAACTAATTTTGGCAAACAAACCGCTTTAATATCATGTAGATTTTATGAATGTTCTGATAGATGTTTTTTAATGTCCAGGAAAGTTCAAGACAGGCAATAACTGGGTTGTCTGGTTGGTAGTAAGCACTAGGGACTTATACATTAATAATCAACAAATAACCATGTAAAAGCAGTAAGTTTGTAAACTGCAAGTGTAGCCATCTGTGTAGTCACCTAAGTGCTTGTCTGTTGCCCAAAATTCAGCTAATAGAAAGGCTGCCTCCCTCTGGGGCATGCACTGTGTGAAGCATCCCATCTGGAAAATCAGTGAGGTGCTGGCCAACGCTGTGATTAATTCTCTCAAAAATGTCATCAACTGAAATTTAGATGTCAGTCTTTGAAGATGCCACTGATTTGTCTGACTGATAGAACTCCAGGGTACTTTGCAAATACAGATCTTGTACAAATACAACGAAAACAGCCAAATGTAAACTGAGAAACAGGGAGGAGTAGCAAATTACAGAGCACTAAAGTTAGCAAATAGCTTCTCTAAGCCATTTTCTTGTTTCTAAATTGTTTCCTCCTCGATTTGTTTTCACATCTTTAAAAGCATAAGTAAGGTTTATAACCTATGAGAAAGTTGTGTTCTAAAAAGCGACTTGGTGAAAATGAGTATCTGTGACTGAAGACAAAAGCAAAGGTGTTTTCTCTGTAATTTACGTGTACCTTCAGTAGGTCTATCAGCCTGAGTCTGGGTGTCTGAAGAGGACAACTGCTGTCCCAGAGATATGCTCCTTCTCTGTGTTCTGCTGCTGGCACATAAGAGAGGGAGAAGCATCCTCTGGGAGCAGTTGAGGCTCCCAGGAGTCTTTCAGGGGAGCAGTGCCCTCTATGGCACAGTCTCAGCATCGTTCCCATCCTGAAATTCACTGCATCTCCAGCTGCTGCTGCGGCTTTGCCATGGGTTTTTTGAAAAGGTAATATGGAAAGGAAGCCCATAGAAAAACATGATTTAACTTCCTCTGGCATTCTAAAGTGGTACATAAGACAGAGTGAACGTCATTAAATGTCAAAACTCAGATCCCAGTTTTTATTTCCATCCTGGTCAGGAACTTTTTTCTTGAGTTCATCTTAAAAAGATTGCAAACCTGCTAAAACTGGAAAGAGCCTGGTTTGTCACTTATAGACCATAGTACTTAGATCCATTTACCCCTCAGGACAGTCCCAGCCTGATTCCTACGTCTAACAGCTACCAGATGTGTCACACAACACCTTCTTCCACAGCAACAAACCCCTGCCTGAGCATTAGGAATTCTCTGCTCTCCATGTCTCTGCCCAACTGTCTTAGCTATCATGCCTATTAGAAATCAACTAATAATTAATGATCACTGAGGAAGGGTAGTCACTAATATATTTTAAAGTGCGTCTTTGTTAATACGTTGTGGGAACAAAAGGAACTTTGGTATGGACTCAGAGAGGAATAGAATTACCCTGGTTTTGAGTACTTTGAAAAAACCTATATGTTTCTACTTTTAAAATAGCTCTGTATCTACAGAAGAACCTACATATGTTTTTCTTCCTTTTCCCCAATTCTTTGCTTGTTGTCTAACTACTGAGATTTTAAAATTATAATCTCAGGAACCTCATCTTGGATCACTAGGGTCCTTTGCACAAATTCTTGACCAAGGCTTCTGAGTGATGCTGCAGTATAAATATTAAAATTAGGTCACTTTTATTGTGTTTCTTCACCCAAGAATCACAGCAAATATATTTGAGTTTGGTTTTTTTTAAATGCTGGTAAAAGATATAAAACCAAGACAAAAAAAGAAACATTATATACATCTTTTTAAGCAGTGGCACATACATTCTTGTCCTTGTGAGGAACTGGCATGATATACCCAAGAACTGCAAGTTGATCCACACAGTTCTCCAGCACAGCACTAAACATCAGAGCTTCCAGATGAGTGATTTTTTCCATTTGTTTAGTCTCTGTGTTCTTGCTAGGAGGAACAAAGATAAAAGATACCAATCAGAAAAAATGCTGTGGTGTTAGTAATGTCAGTAACAGTCGTTTAAACTAAAGGTAGACCCGAAATAGCCTTATTTGCAGCCTTACATATACTTCCCTGGCTTTGTTTATAACCTTTCATACACTGTTTATAAGAGAAGCTGTGCTCTGCTAATGGTTGCATTCAGGGACAGTGGGAATGTTTAGCTTTCACAAAACAAAGAGGTCCTGGTCCCTCCTACAGCAGATCTGGGTAGACAGGCTGAGAAGGGAATGAGTATGGAGGGCACAAACTGCGTGAGGTGCCTCATTATTCAGTTCAGGGGGGAGCAGTGGTTCATAGTGGACTTTGGGAAACAACAGAAGAAAGATGCCTTCTTTAAAGAAAAAAATAAATCCACAACCTATAAAGTCTCAGATGGCAAACCTTCGTGCTCTAATAATTCCTCAATATTACTGTGTTGCCTTCACACTTTTAGGTTCTCAGTCCCCTCTCAGCAGGAACTGTTACCATCTTAAGATGCTGAAACTTAAACGAGAACCAATACCTGGACTGAGGAAAACAATCTTTAACTTTCTGTATTATTTTAACTTGCACTTCAAACATGAAACTGCTCTGACATACACTTAAGCACCCCTTTGCCTTGCCTACAGATGGAATATTGTGAAAGTATATCTAAGGAAAAGTGAAAATTCACTGTTAATCCAAAAATACCTAAGAAAACACCTGCACAACAATGGAAAAATTATCTGAGAATTTTAATGTTTTGATATGCCATTGGACAATTCCTCCAAAGCCTGTACGTACAAACCAGGTATTTCTTGTACAACACATAGCACAGCTGCAGTTTTTGAGGTGGCTAAGATCCTGAGTGTCATTGCAATGGAAGTATCAACAGCCACTAAAACTTAATTTGGCTGCTCTACCTAAAACTGGGTTTGTGCCATCTGTAAAACCCTTGCATAAACATATCCTAAGCCTGCAAAATATTGCAGCCCAACTTGTAAGCATGCCAAAGAAATATATCAGGCAGTCCCTGTTAGCATAAGACATGGCCATAGTCTATGAAAATTAAAGAGGTTTGGATGCAGCTGTTCTATGCATCACTGGAAATCAGTGATATTTCATAAGCAAGTGTTTAAAAAGATTCATACTTGTTGTAGCCTCTCCGAAGCTATTATCATTGGTCCTTCTTTTTTTGTTGTTGTTGAAAAAGTATGTAATTTCCAGTTGGACCATTAATTTAATTTCACCTGGCAGAAAAGAAGTGCCACTTTTCAGTGCAGGTTTATTTGATGTCTGTCAGTACAGAATAGGTAAAGCAAACAAAAGTAACTCAGATTTCACACATTTGTTTCCTTATATCCCTGTCTGTTGCAGGAAGTTGTTTAATGCAACACGTGTTGAAATGTGCTGGAAGAGGACGTAGCTCTCCCTGGGGATAAGATTAGAAAGTGTGCACAGGGCAGTGACTGGAATTGCTCTCAGTAAATCCATAGGAAGGGCAGATACCAGGGAGAGACAGAGGTATTTAAGTTAAAGGATAATACTGCTCTGGGTCAAAGGAGAGTAATTTCCGCTAAACCAGGCAATTATGATAAGGTTTCTAACTCCTGAATGGATGAAAATACAGAACAGCCTTGCAGACAAGGTAATGGTAGAGGCACTCTGATTTATTTCAGAAGCTTGTTTACATCGTGGCAGGAAAAGATAACAGAAAAGTAATGATTCTGAACATTATCAATATGTTCACTATACTTGTACTGTTTATACCCACTTACCTCTAATTCCTCTGAGCAGGGCTTTCAATGATCACCTAGGACAAAGAAGGAACTGATTTAATCCCTTTGCTTCTGAGATTTTTTCTTTTATCTTAATTATTTTAAAAATGTAATAACTTGAGATAGGAATCTCATAATAATGTTAACAAAAAAAATGGCAAATGATCTGTATAATAGACTAACTCCACGACTTTTCTTTTCAACCTTGGAATCAATGATAGAAGTGGAGATGCAGTATTTTTACATCAAGAAAGTCAAGCAGTGTCTCCAGTCAACAGGCACTAATAAAATATTTTTCAATGTTTTAATCATTTTTATCTTTTTCAGAAATCCATGCTCCATATTTTGAGTCTAAACAACCTAAGAATAATCTATTACATGTGGAGTCATAATGCTAAAAATATGGTGAAAAAAGATGTGCTGGGAGATAGCTGTGACAGATGATTACAGCAGCATTTCTGGAAGAAGAAATAACACATGCAAGTCTCATAGGAAAAAGGGACTTAATTGGAAACGAAGCAGGATGCAACAGCTTTTCCTCTTTTCCATCAGCAGCCTGTGACCAGGAGAGAATTAACTCAGGATATTAATATGCTTTAAGAAAGCTGGCAACTGGAATGTTTCTCTAAAGCCTCTTTGCTGCTTTGCTCCTCCTCTGTATCTTCTCTTGCATCCATATCCTTGCTCAGCAGATCCATGTGCCAAGCCAGTAGGGTCTGGGCTTATGTTAAATTGGAATTAAGAAGGAAACCACTGTCTAGGGCATTAGGAAACACTACAGATATGAGCTGCTTGCTCTGGATTTTAGTGTCAACACGGTGCCCCTCAGACCATCCACTGGCATTGCCCTGCACTGCTCTGTTTGCTGAACTCCTTCATTAAACTCTATTAATAATAATTTTTTTAAAAGAAGTATGTGAAAGATTCAGCTTTCCCCATGAGTTTTGGATGACATTCTTTCCCTGCTGATCTAAAGGGAAAGAAAAACATATCAAGTAATAATTTTTAAAGCAACTGTATAAAAGGTCTGGCCTCCTGCTCCTATGGGGATTGCAACTCCCTCTGCTGTGTGAGAGTCCTGGATGTACACTTCTCCCACCCTGCTGCCTGATAAATGAAAATGGATTCAAGAGCAGCATTTCGTGCAGCATTCCTTGTAGTAAAGTGAAGAGACTCCAGTGAATTCCAGTGAGAAAATGCATAGCTGAGAATGTCACATCTCCTTTAGCTCTGTTTGGCAAATGATTGGCAAGGAGAGATTCTGAATGTCCACAGGAGCAGCAGCTGAGCCTGAAATCACAAGTAACTTCATTTTTACCGAAAAAAGGTCTCTTTGAAAGCAAAACAGGTGTGACCTTACCTTACACAGCTCTGCTTCCTGCTAGAAATATTAGGAGAGCAAGGTGCTCATTTTGGGAAAAAAGAAGGGGGGGGGTTGGGGACGAAGGGCAAGGAAAGGAGAGGAAAGGGGAGGAATGGAGGAAGGGGAAGAAAAGGATGGGAAGAGAAGAAAAGGGAATGGGAAAACGACCATCAAGGTTCCTCAAGGTTTCCCTTCCTCTCACCTTCCTTTCTCTAAATCACAAGTGCTCTGAAAATGCACCTGAATTTCTGGCAGTGTGAGGGAAGTGACAGAAATCGGGAGTGAATAATCTTGACGCGAGCAAATATGCTTCCAGATCTTATTTAGGAAAATAAAGTAATATGAGACTTGGTTACAGGGATTTCAGTGTCGAAGTATCTTTTTGCCTCCAAGGGGATATCAGGAGTAAAATAAATGTCGAGATGATTCACTGACTCAGGGTGAGAACAGAGGACGACGGGCAGGGCCCGGAGCCCACCCCGAACACCAAGGGCTGCTCGCTCCCTCGCGCTGCCTCTCTTCGGGCTCCTCGGCTCGTTCCACCGCCAAGGCTCGCTTTCATTCGCCCTGTACAGACCGGCCCGGGCTCCCCTCAGCCTCTCATCGGGATCTGCCCTCGTTTCCCCCGATCTCGCCCCCACCCTCACCGGGATACGCCGCCCGTCTCCGTAGCAACCACCACGCTCGGGGGCCTCCCGGGGCTGCCCGGCGGGTGCCTGCGCAGCGGGGCTGGGGCCGCCCCTCCCGGGATCGCTCTTGCTGGGATCGCCCCCGGGGAACGCGGGCACGGGACGTGGGACGCGGGATGGGCGGCGTGGGGCCGCTGGACCGCCATCATCAACTCGGTGTTGCTTGCTCAGGCAGCGCGGGGCCGCCCTCTCGGGTCCTGGCGGCGCGTTTCCCGGCAGGCAGCGCGGCGCGGGTCTCTTTCGCCGCCATCTTGTGGCGCTGGGGGTGAGGCGGAGCGGGGCCGCGGGCCGGGAGCGGGGCTGGGGGATGCTGCGCTCGCTGTGGGGCCGCTGGCGGGTGCGGGGCTCCCGGGGTGCGGCGGATGGCGCGGTCCGGGGCGGGGATAAGGCGGGATGGCGCCGATGCGCGGCGGATGGTTTCAGTCGCGGATTGGGGCCCCTTGACTGGAGCGGGGCTGAGGCGGCTGCGCTGTGGGGGAGTGGAGGGTCCCGGAGATCTGGGTGGCTCCTGAGTAGCTCCCGAGTAGCTCCCCGCTCGCCGGGCCGGGCGGAGATGCCGGCCCGAGGCTCATGGCTGTCTGTCGTTTCCAGGCCTGCCGGGACCGGGTCTGCGGGAGGACACCATGACTGGGAGGTGAGTGACTGCCCGAGGTGGCTCTCGGTTCGGTGTTGTACAACATTCTTGACAGAGTTTATTGAAGCAATAGGCAGTGAGCGGAGTTCCTCTGCCCAGTGGCCTGCTGGGCCCTGTAGAACGGCCACAGTTGTGTGTCCCTCTTCTGAAGTCTCTTGAGCTGGTTGTCGTTGTTGTTACGATGTGCCACGTTCTCCCTGGCCTGTCAATAAATATTAGTGTAAAATTTATGTGTTTATTAGCACAATGTTTGTGACTTTCAGTGTACACTGGAGCTTTGATTTACGTTTTCCTTGAGTAAAGGAAGCAGTGTGTTTTTCCCATGAGTAGATTTCCTGTTGTGCCGCCGAATTTTCTTACAGATGTAGGGATTGAGTTTGTAAGTGGAGGGATTAAATCTGAATACTCGAGGGCTGCCTGGAGAAACTGTGGCTGCCCCATCCCTGGAAGTGTTCAAGGCCGAGCTGGACGGGGCTCTGAGCAACCTAATGTGGTGTGAGGTGTCCCTGCCCACGCAAAGGAGTCAGAACTGGATACTCTTTAATGTCTCTTCCAACCCAAACCGTTCCATGGTTCTGTGAATTACAGCTTTTTGTCTTAGTATTTATCTTTGGAGTTTATGTCCTGTTTCACTTGTGGCAGATAGAACTGGATATCTCAGTTTGATCCTGTGCTGTCCCAGGGCAGGTGCTACATGTCTTGGGCCAGACGTGCTGTCTAGCCGGTGTGTGGGGCAAGTCTTACAATGACTTCAATGGGCAGTGCAGGTAGGACTCTGTCCTGAAGAACTGCTGGGCAGTTTGTAATGTCTGTGTGCAGTGGATGTCAGGCTGTTGATCTGGCTGTTAACTCCTTTGAGACTACAAATCAGGGGCAGTTCATACCTTCTGTAGCAGTAACTGCAACACAGGAGACTTCTGTGGTGTATAGAAATAAAGCAGTGTTTACTCGTCAGTGTTAGTAGACTTCTGGAAACAATATCTGCTAATGCTGAAGCATTTGAAACTTAGTGTGAAGCCTGTACTGTAGTGCCAGGAGTTTATGACAAGCAAAAAATACAGTGTTCTCATAAATACTTCATGTTCCACATACTCAGCTTTCCTCTGTTCATTGAATATAAGTATTTGCAGTGATTTGTGAAAGTCAGCTATTTCCTCTGCTAATTTCTACTGGTGTGGAATTAGTTTCTGCTGAAACAGCCTATGATTTTTGATTTACTTTTGTTACTTTGGAGTGAATTATAAGTTGCACATGTTTTCCATGTCTTAGGCTGTGGTGCAAGGCCATTTTTGCTGGCTACAAACGTGGCCTCCGAAACCAGCGGGAGCACACGGCCCTTCTAAAAATTGAAGGTGTTTATGCCCGTCAGGAGACAGACTTCTACCTGGGCAAGAGGTGTGCCTATGTGTACAAAGCTAAAAAGTAAGTAATGTTTTGTTCTTGTGCTGAATTAGCCAATTTCTGTATCAGCTTTTGGAAATGCTAGGAGATAATGATATTATATGTTAGAAAGCACGTGGGATAAGAAACAAGTTTTGCCTAAGATTGACAAAAATTAAAGGTGGATTGATGGAGTAAATTGAGGTGGGTGAATTTGTGTTAAATACTCCGAACTGTTGAGTTACTTAAACAGTAAAGTGATTTTGTGAAGCCTGGAGGAATTTGTATTCTGACTTTTGTGTTCCCGTGTCTGAGTACTGTCTGTCACTTCTGCTCTGCTGCCATTTTCAGACACCTTGGGAACAGCTGCTTATCACTTCCACTTCCTTCTTTTTCCTTGAGTGCTGTTGTTAGAGTTCATAACTGCCTTGAATAAAATTGATCAGACTGATAACTTGACCACCATCATTTCCAACATGGCACATGGCTCTTCATTTAAGGCAATTTCTGCCACCTATCTCAATGGCCTATTCTTCTCCTGCCTTCAGTGTGTCTGGAGAAATAAGGTGTTGGCAATTTGATACTGTTGATTTTTGAGTTTAATCATATTAGCAAAAGTGTTTTCCAAATTTCTGAACTTTTTAAGTGGTTGATAGTTGTCCAGTGGAACTTCTGATAAATTACAAGCTGTAATTACCTCTTTGAAAGGTAAAGTGAAAATCCCAAGCCTGAAAAATTTCACAAATAAATAAAAGTGGACATTGGTCTAGTTAAAGATGGCTATGGAGCTACTTACTGAGGTGCCTTAGAGAGGACTACATTGTCACTGCTGGTGACAGCAGAACTGTCACTGCCCTGCTTAGCTGTTCTTTGCCTCCTTTCCCTCAGCAACACGGTAACCCCTGGAGGCAAACCCAACAGGACACGCGTGATCTGGGGGAAGGTGACCCGCGCCCATGGGAACAGTGGCATGGTTCGTGCCAAGTTCCGCTCCAACCTTCCTGCCAAGGCCATTGGACACAGAATCCGGGTGGTAAGTGGGTCTGTTTTAGCAGCAAGATATTTATTGGCAGTGTTTGGGGTGCCTTTTAATGCCACATAGTATGAGGGAACATTTGAACTGTGTTTTTATTCTATTGCTGTTGAGTGTACAGCATGGCTCAGTGACTGCGGTGATGGAGCCTAGAGAGGCTTTTTCCTGGCTTCCTGTGCTAAGGGGATGTCTCATTGTCCAGGGTTTGCGTGCTTGCTCAGGTTGTCTGGAAAGGCTCTTCACATTCCAGGACTCAGCTCCTTTCTAAAGCTGCCTTGATTTATTTTCCAACAATCTGTTCTGTGCATTTTTGCACCCTTCTACTCCTCTACTTGTTTTTTTCTCTTACTTCCCAAATGTTTTAACTGGGGGTGGTGCTGTCCTGTCATGGCGACTCCCATCTGCTTCCACAGTTGGCATTTTAGCCACAGGGTTTCAGTGGGACTGTCCCTTTAGGTCTCTCACCTAGAGTTGTGATGTAATACTTTCTTAGTGGTGTTGTCAATAGGAATACAAGAGAGGTGCAGTCCTTCCTTTCTGTCTTTCTCCTGTGCCTTAGAAAAAGCACAGTAGGAGCAGCTTAGATAATTCCTGAAATCCAGAGCCATGGGAGCTCTTGTTGGTGCACAGAACGGCTGGCTGCCACAGAGTCTGTGCCACCAGGGAAGTGCTTCTGCAAGTCACTGAACCAGCTGTTGGGCTTTTCCATTCTCATGCCTCTTGTGTATAAACTGGGGATTGCTTTTATAGCAGTTGAAGAGATTCACGGTCTGGGTTGTTACTGCAAAACTGGTGTTTGAATACAAGATTTCTAACGTGATTCTGTCTGGTTTTGTGTTTTACAGATGCTGTATCCATCTAGGATCTAAATTTTTATTGGAAATAAAATGGAGATTCTGTTTAACTATTGTATATTTCTGGTTTTATTGCCTCCACCAATTTTGAGAGACCTCTTTGTCAGTAGTGTATCAGTGTTGACAGCACAGACAGAGACACTAAATCCTGGCAGGTGCAAAGCCTTTCGCACATTTCACAATAGTAGTTCTGGTAGAATTCCAGATAACGAGCCCATATGTACCTGGGCAGCACATGTGCCCTTAGTGCCTGGTCTGTGTTAATTATTTAAACACATTTTCATTGCACAGCTCTGTGGTGCCAAGTGTTAACGCTGTTTTCTCGGCCAGCCTTAGCACATCATGTAGCGAGCATCTTCACAGCACTTGTGTAGGTCTTTTAGGTCTGCTGAACAATAAGGTGGTGAAAAACTGATTTACAGTCTTGAAGTGCAAGGCTCAGAGTTTATTATGTCTGAAAAGCCCCCCAAAATACTGGGTAGTTTAAAGGGTAATAGTTTAAAGTTGAGGCAGGTACAGGTTGTCATGGTTGCTGCTGATGTCACAGTCCCAAAATGATCTGTGGATACACTATGAGGGCAGTTCCACATACACTGAGTAGTTCCATCGTTTTCAATGCATCCCTAGTCGGTCAGGCAGGTAAGTGTTGGCTCAATCACACCTTGAGCCCGCTCCAGTGCAGTCCCCACTTACCAGGGTATGAGAGCTTCCTTCTCCCTGTCTGGCCCTGCTGCCAGTGTGTGTCAGGGAGCCCTCTGAGGCTTTGCACGTCTCCTGCAGTGGGCTGGTATTTCACAGCTAATCCTCTTCTGAAGGAGGTGGAGTTGTGTGTGCAGAATACGTTGTTGGGTGAATCAAAACTTTGAACTGGAATTTAAAAACTTGAGCCAACTTCTCAGCTCTAGTACAGAAATTATTTTGCTGGACTTAAAAGACATAAGCCTACTGCCACTGCTGTCCTTCACAGCAGGAGAGCCTTGGCTATGGAAAATGCATTTTTTTAACATGTGGAGAGAAATTGCAGCTTATGGGATACTGGGCCAGGTCAGGTAGGGCTTTTAGTCTTCCACAACTAACAACAGGTTAGACACGTTGGCTTCAAGGAAGGATAGATGGGATTTCCAGCTTTAGGTATTGCAGAGGGAGGAGGAGGAAATGTAGTGAGCAAAGTGGACTGTAACAATAGGTTTGTAGGCCTGTGGTCACTATCATATAGTTGGGATTTGTTGATAAGAAGGTAATAAGTCCTTTTGAGTTTGATACAAGATGCCCAAAAATAGGTAATCATCCCTTCTCTCTCCCTTTGTCTCTTTCTATTGCACCAGACTACCAAGGTACAAAGCCTTTTTTTGAGAGGTCCAACCCCAAAGAGCACATAGCTGCAATTTGTGAATCTTTATATGAAAACGCTTGATATTTTTGCATTCATTTGGTCCCACCCAACCCAGTGTTGGCTGCTCAGAGCAGCAGGTGTTGCCTGTTTTGAGCCTGTGCTGTGCAATTGCCTCTGCTACTTCCACTCCTTTCCCCAGCAGCACAGTAAACTGATGTGTGAGGAAGCTATGGCGTCAAAGGAGCCGGCCTCCTTCGTGGACAGAACCACCTGGGATTTCCTCAACCTACTGGACATGCTGGGGAGCCGGAATGGACGGGTGGGTGTGATGGAGGTGGACCATGCTGACTCAAGAGCTCCGTCATTGCTGGTGGATTTTACCCGGGACCTGTGTGGCACAGGGGACATCAAGCACAGACCACAGCAGGCAGATGATGAGGGAAAGGAAGAGGAGGACCTGGTTCCCCCACATCTGATTTTTATGCTGTGGCAAGCCAGTGTGTTGAAAAGGCTCATGCAGTGGGATCACCTGGAGGAGGCTGTCCGGGATGTGAGGAACCTCCTCCCCTGCCTGCCAGACGTGCTGGTGCTTGTGATGATCCGTCCTGACTCCCAGGAGCAGCTGGACCAGGCAGTGAGCGCGCTGAGAAGAATGCAGTGTGTGCTGGATGGGGCCCTGCAACTGCCTGTGGAAACTGCAATTTATAGCCCAGGCCAGCCTGGAGGTGTCCTGGAGGCAAAGAAAGCTGCCTGTAGGGCACTGAGAGAAGCCTTGAACTGCCATGAAGGTAACTGGGTAACACATCTAAACACAGGGGTGAAGGTCACAAAAACATGCTCAGGGCAGTGTCTGAGGGATGGTGTACACTTGAAGTGGTGCTTGTCGACTGGATTCAAATACAAGAGGGAAGACAAGCTGGATCTTGCAGGCAATATGAGCCAGAAAAGAGAATGAGGGTTTACATGCTGGGATGGGGGTGAACAATGTGTCTGAGCCAAGTGTGTTCCTTCTTGCAAGTCACATGGTGTTGACTCTTCCTTGCCCCTGAACACAACTGGCAGTAGAAATGCTGCTCAGTGTAAGAGCTGCATTTCTGACTCCCTGCTGGAGCTTTCTATGATAATGTTAACTGCTCCACAGCCTCACTGACCTGAGTTCTTCACTGGAGGGATGTGCTAACCTTTTTGGGTGGCCACGGGCCTTAGCTTTGAAAGGATTGTGCCAGTGTTCTATCATTTTTGTTTCTTCCCCTAGAAGTCGACTCCCAGGAGCCATTTGTTATTTCGCTCCCGGAGCTCAGATACTGTCGAGTTCTGCCTGAATGTAGGCAAGAGAAGGTATCAAAGACAGATGGAGAATGAATTCCCTTGGGCAGCAGATTCTGTCAGGTTGGTTTTAGCACTGTCCTGTTGGATGTCCCTTTGCAGAATACTTCCTGGTGACTTGCTTGTCTGCCCAGGCCTTCTGCATGGATGAGATTCAATGTGTGGCTGCTGCCAGAAGGGGACGCTGTGCCCTCAGTGTCGGCGCCACATGTCCTTGCCACAAAGCTCAGTTCATTGCTGCGTTGGCTGAACAATCTGACCCGGGAAATTTATCAAAAATCATCGCGTTTCTGCTTTGCATTAAACACCTTGATTGATTATCAAAATGTCCCTAAGAAAACTGTCAGCAGAGAGGGAATCAGAGCAGGCCAGAAGCCTCTAAGTTTTAAACTATCCCAAAACTGAAACAGTGAGAGAAACTCAAGACTAAGGCCTCAGACCTTGTTTTCCTAGGAGAACCTGGATAGAGGAGTCTTTGGTTCATGGTTCTCATCAGGAACAAAGCTCCTGAAACTCCCCAGGGTTCTTTGTAGCAGGGAGTTGACCTTACATACAACTGGGTACACATCCAGCAGACTGAGTTTCTGGGATGGGTTATTTTGGATTGGAGGAACTGTGGGAGTAGTAGAATATTTTTAAGTCCAATTACCCACATAATAGCTTAAATAATTTCCCATCCTCTCTGGGCATGGCAAAGCATTATAGGTAGCTGCATTTTTTTGCATTGGGAGTTTATATGTATGTTTTTTCTGGTGTTTTTTATAGATATTTTGTCATCCTAAGATCTTCATTATCATCAAAAGAAGGATTAAAAACCTGATATTTATCTCATTTGTGTCTGTGTGTATCTATGAGCTTCAAAGCTTATATCTAAGACTGCAAAACTTGCTGAAGCTGCAGGTTTATGCAGTATGGTACAGAAGGATGGGATTTGAGGGCAGTACAGATCCTATAAACCAATGTTTGTCAGAGAAAGGATTCTCCAGGTTATTTTTCAAATACGGATTATTTCCAGATCCTTAAGGATGTGGCTTTATGAAGCAAAACTACCGTGCTTTAAGTGTTTGGGTGGTGCTGGTGCTTAGCAGACTTTTGGATGAGGTGACCCAATTGCTATGTTGTGGAAGAGACTTTCCACGAGCATTTCCACAAGATGAATTCTGTCTTTCATTACTGAGGACACAGGTTTTTGGTCAAGCTAATGAAGAAATAGTTCCCTTGAGTCAAAGCAAGACATGTACATGTTGAGGCTGTTTGTGAATTTGAAAGAAAGTTTGGCTTTAAAAGATCAGTATATTAGAACATCCTTAAAGCAAGAAGCCACAATGAGGTCCTGTGTCTCTATTATTTCCTGTAGCATCTGAAACACACAGGTAACTACTCAAATCCAGGTATAGTCCATGCAGCTCTCAAGTTTCTTCTCTGGCAGCATGTTTGTACTGTGTCCAGGCACTTCTGTGCAGGGTGATGTGGGCCACTGTCAAGATGAAAAGGGGAAGAAACTCTGAGATGTGGCTGATATCCTGGCCAGAGCTTGGGAGCACAGGAATGCCCTGCAAGGGCAAGTGATGTAGCCACAGGGATGTGTGGCTGGGACAACGAGGAGTGTGGTCACCGAGAGAGCTGAGGAGGAGAGGAGGCAGGCCATCCAAGAGTGCTCTCAGGCAGCATCCTTGCTGCATTCTCCACCTAATCCTGCGTGGATAGAGAGAAGTTTTAGAGTGTCCTGTAGTAGACCAGAAGGGCCCCTTTGTGGCCTCTTTCAGGGCTGGCAAACCAGGCAGATCCACACTGACCTGCTCTGCTTATTCCAGCAACTTCAGGGAAGCAATGATGTGTTTTTCAAAGTAATGATTGAAGCAAGTTTGGAGAACAGATCAGTGGAAGAGCAAATGTGCAAAGGTTTGCTGAGGCTTAGCTTGTCTGCAGCCAGTTCCAGCTCCTAGCTGGCTCAAAGGCTTTTCCAAGTGTCTCCATGAGCACCAAAGCTACTGAAAGGAAGAATTTAAGGAGCTGGGCTGGGTCATTGGACACTGTCTCAGAACAGCTCCTACAGATTCCTTCTTGCTCATTCAGTCTCTCTGCTCCTCTATCATCAAAAAGGGCACAAGAATCCTTTTTTCCTGTCTTCTTTTTACTCTCTTCAGAAGAAAGGTTAATCTGTAAATGCAGGCTCTAATGCAGTGGACCTTTTTTTGTTTGTTTAGGCTTCAAGGCACTACTAATACACATGCCAAATTTGTTTCTCTGAACAAAGTATCTTCTCTCTTTTGAAATAAAAAATGAACAGATGTTTTATCTGCTCTGGACAGCTATGGGGATATGTAAGGGATGTGATGACCCTCATTCAGGGCTGTCTATAGTGATTCTTTACAACTGTGACTGTCAGATGGATGTTTGATGGAGTGTCAGGTCTTCTAAATACATCAGTGTTTTTGCTCAGGTTCCTGAAAGGTTTCTGAAGACATTCTGTGGGAGACTACAAATGCTGGTAAGCTCATGACTGCCTCTGAACTGTTTGAGTTGTACCTCTTTAAGTAACACGAAGGGAGTTGTGTGTGTAAGATGTTAGCCCTGTTAATGAGTAAAGAAATGTAAACAAGCTTGTTTGGGTATTGTGAGTGACATTCACCTTTCCAACCAGCCTCTGCTGGTAGTGTTACACTGTACCCAAAATTAACTAAAGAATTGTAGTGACCATGAATAACAGCTCTACGTGGTCCCAAATTTTAGTTTTTAGTGGCTGTGCTGGCAGTTTGAACGTCAAAGCCACTGCAGAGAAGTAGCCAGTGGTGTACCTGAGTTAGGAAGAAAACTCCAATTTATTGTCTACTTTCTGTGCAAGAATTATCTTCATAAACCTGGGGAATTGCCTGCTACAAAGCCAACTTCCCAATGCCTGAGGCATCTTGGCATCTCTAGGCAAGTCACTGGCATGAATCTACTCTGGAAGAGCTCTGTGAGAGCCATGCTGTAATGGTGTGCACATCAGTCAGGCTTTAACCAGTGTCACCATACCACAGGCTGTGCTGGCATCTCATTAGGAGTTTAAATACTCTATGGATCTTGTGGCAGTTTTCCAGAGAGATGATGGTTTCTGAGGACCAGCACATGTTCCTGTCCCCTCCTGTTGCTGACACAACTCATGATGCTGATAACACCTTGGACTTTTGTCCATAGGACCATGAACAGGATTCTGAACAGATGAGAAAAAAATCCTTGTAAATACAAAATCTGGGCAACACTTAGGCCAGACCTGACTGCTGAATTTCGTCTGACTTTGTAGCCCTCCCATGTTGACAGCTACTCTCAGAGCTACCACACTGGCATGGGGGCATGGGCTCTGGCAGACCCTGATCTTTGGAAGAGGAGCCTAATCTTTCTATTTTACCTCCCCCTTTTCTCCCTGTCCCATTTGCTTACCAGCACTTGTCCCTGAGTAAATTACTTTTGCTAGGATCCAGGGCAGAAAGTCTCTCTTGAAGCCCTCATCCATGATGCTAGCCTGGGGCAGTGTTTGCTAAGCCTGCCATACTGGGGGAAATATTTTCCATGGATTAAAATTTGTGCCACACTGTGACCTTCCCAAGCTGCCACACCACTGTTGTACCTGTGGCACATCCCTTCTGCTGTGGCTGCTGATCTGCTGGGCTCTGGGGACAGATGACCATGAGTATGGGCAGGCAGCAGGCACAACAGCTCAACCATATTTGTGGCACAAGTGTACCCAAACACACATGTTGGAAATCACGGATCCAGGACAAGCACGTGGATTTTGGTTCTGCTTTCACCTCCAATACGCTCAGAGATTGCTCCACCCATCCCTCAAGAGATGGTTTGGCTCCAAAAATCCTCAGAGAGCAATTGGCCAAGGTGATTCCGGCCATTTACACCTTTGAGCTGTTTATCTCTTCCCAGGTTCTTGCGATAAGACATTACTGGTTTGGAGGAGCCTGTTCTGATATGGCATAGGGGAAGTATTTACCGCATGCCAAGGATTGGAACTTCCCCATGCAAGTATGAGGGCTGGGCACAGTGACTTTCATTCGGTGTTGGCTGGCAGAGATACATGTAACAAGTGCCAGCACTGAAACCCTGATTAAAGCTCTGTACTTATCCCTGGAAACATTTGTGCTTTGATGGGCTATAGTGATGTGCTTGTGGGCCTGTGACTGCAGGCTGTGTTTTGCATGGAGGTGGCAGAGGGGAAGTCAAAGGACACTGGTTTGGGAAGAGATTCAGAGATACAGCATGTGGTGTGGGGGCTGCAGCTCAGCTGTGCGCTTGTCACCAGTGGGGTGGGTATGTTCTTCAAGAGTGAAATTGTTTCCCAAAGTGGAATTGTTTCCAGGGGTAGCTGTAGCCTGGCCAAGCTGTGCAGTAGCATAGTGCACATGATGCCAGAGAGGTCACTCTATTGCTGCTCTGGGGTATGAGATGACACACCATAGGGAGCACCTTGGGGATGTATGATCAGCTGCTTCTCTATCATAACCTCATGTGTGTACCACTTTGCAGCCACCATAGCCTCTCCTCATCCCCCTCTCACCTTCTGAGCCCCTCCACAGCGCAGTTTTTGCCTGAATTTTATCAACTCATTGGCAACAAGACCAGCCTGTGGCGAGGGCTCTGAGTCTGGTTGTGTCACATCCAGGGACTCTCTACTACCCTCTCTGCTGTGCCCACCTGGCAGCAGTCAGGGACTGCTCACCGCGGGGTTGTGCGGGTCCCGGGGCTGGAAGCAGTGGGGATCCTTGACGCGCTCTCGCCCAGCTGCCCCGGAGTGTTGCTCTGCGCGGGGCCGGGGCTGGTGCCCGGGGCTGGCGCAAGGTGGCGGGGCGGGTGTGGGCCAGTGGGCGGTGCGGAGCCGGGGCCGGGGAACATGCAGGTGCGGGCCGGACAGGCAGCACGGCGGGGGATGGCGGCGGCGGACCTGCAGGAGCTGCGGGCGCTGGTGGAGCGGGCGGGCGGGCGGCGGGCAGTACTGCTGGTGGCCGAGGTGGCGGAGGGTGCCCCGGCAGCGCCCGCGCTGGCCGCCTTCGCCCGCGATCTCCTGGGGGACGAGGCGCCGCGTGCATCGTGCCCGGGGCCGGGGCCGGTGCCGGGGTGCCGGGCGCGGCGGGCAGCGGGCGGCCGTCGGCGGGCGCTGGGAGCGCGGCTGTTGCTGGTGCTGTGCGGCGGCGGGGCGGCGCGGGGCCGCGGGGCGCGTACCCGCCTGCGAGAAGTGGTGCGGGACGTGCGCGGCCGCCTGCCCGCGGGGCCGCCGCCCGCCGTCGTTGGCGTCCTGCTGCCCGGCGGGGACGGAGACGATGCGGCAGTGCTGGACGCGACGCTGCGGCAGCACTTCCCGGCGCCCGGCACGGTGCAGGCGGCCCGGTACAGCCCGGGCAGCCCTGGCGATTGCCGCGCCGCCGCCTGCCGCGCTCTGCGGGCCGCCCTGCAGCACCCCGCAGGTACAGGGTCGAGGGACCCCTTCCTCCCTCCCTCCCTCCTTCCCTCACCCGAAGCCTGGTTTTTACAGTGGGATTTGCTGAGTTTTCCTGTGGGATCTTCCCCTTCCCAGTGGGATCTATGCCATCGTAATGGGTTCTGATCTCTCCTCATGGGATCTCCCCTGCAATAGGGTCAGGCTTTTCCTATTGGGATTGGGCCACTCACTTTACACATCTTTACACATGCACAATCCAATCTGCCTTTCCACAATGAAATATTTTTCATGCTGGTAGGATCAGAGCTTTTGCAATGGGATTTGCCTCTTTCTGGTGAGGTTCCCAGACCTGGCACCAGGGTGGACAAAATTCCCAGCAGTTTGGGAAACACTAGAATAGCTCATGGATAACAGGGATGTGGCAGCTGAAAGTCATGATATTGTGGTCATCTGTAACACGGTGGCCTTCCATGCTTATTGGGTATGTGTTCTCAGGGAAGCAGGACTGGGATGTGGCTTGTGCTGCAGGGTGCAGGCAGGATCTGACCTTCCTGCAGGAGGAAGATGCTTGTGCTGATTTTGCATAATGAATAAGTAACCAGAGCAAGTGGTTGTTTGCATGTAAAACCATATGTCAGGGTGAGGATGGCAGGAAGAAAGCTGGGTGTCTGCCACGCCTGAGGAACAGCATTTGCCCTGGGGTGAAAGGGGAGTTGGGTTTGTGTGTCAACAAAGGGTGATGGGCAGCTGGGCAGGCTCTGCTTTTGGAGCTGCCACATAAAACACTTTAATCTTTGGCACCGCTTGTCTTGTGCTGTTTCCCTTTCCTCCTCCCTTCTGTCATTTTTTCCCACTTTTACCTTGCTCCCCCAGCATTTCCATAGGCTTGGGTGTTTTGCTGTCTTGCTGGCTTTACTTCGAGGGATCCTGGCACTTGCTTTCAGCACCAGAGGGTTGACAGGGAGTCCTGGGATTCCTGGGACATGAGGATGATTTGCTGCAGTTCAGGTGCTTCTTTCTATCAGCTCAGCCCAGAAACCTAGATCTGAATGTTGAGGAGCTTTGAGGTGGCTGGTGGCGAGGGCACAGGGTTGTCTTCGGCCACCTCTCTACTGAGGCACACACAATCCTCTTTCCAGCTTCTCTCCTTTCACATGGTTTTGCTCACATTGTTCCTGCTGCAAGAATTTCTGGTGTGCTCCCAGACACCAGTGAATCCTCCAGTTCTGGTCACTGCAGTCTGGTGGGACAGCAGCTGCAGAGGCAGAAAACATCCCTGCATACCTTCTTCTGCCTTGGCACTTTAGTGGTGCTTGGCTAAATATATGTATTTTTGTGGCTGGCTGTGGAGAACGAGGAGCAGGAGCTGGATTGGGTGTTACAGCTTGTTTTTCTGTGCTCATTCACTTCTGATGCTCTGCCTGCTGCTCTGAATCATGTAAGTGTCCCAGGACCTGTGTGTGTAATGAGGATACTCATCACCTTCAGGGCTCAACCTTAGGCAGGGACAATTTCTTTCCATGTTTCTTTGAGCTTTGCCTTCCAAAATTTCCACCTAGACAGAGCCTCCAAAGAGCAGCTGAACACTTCAGGCAGTGCACCCCAGGCAGTGCACTGGAGTTTTTTGTTTATTGACCACCAGAAAGACACTGAGCCCTTTAGTGTTGCAATGGCTCGATAAACTGAAGGACACTGAAGTGGCTTATCATTTGTTAACTGATTGAGAGGTAAAAGGCTGGATGAAATTTCAATGGGGATGCTGAACTGTTGCTCTTGGAGACCACATAAAATATGCTGCTGTAGTATTTTACAGGCTGCTGTAGTGTTTTACTAAAATGGCTTAAAAGTCTGTAGTAACTTTGTTGTCTTCTAGAATAATTACCATACATTGACCACATGCTCTCTGAAATTTACAGGCAGCTACAGCTGCAGTTTTCAGTGTGCTGCTGCAAGACAGTGTGTCCACCAGGTCTCCATGGGAGGGAGGGAGGGAGGAATTGCTTAATAAAGCAGGGAGCAGTAAACAGGTTGATGTGATAGAAGCTGTGTGACAATGCAAAAGGAAAACTTCCTTCTGTGGGAATTCTCTGTGTCAGTCCCCAGCCTTGCCACATGTGCCAGCTGAGCTCCTGCCAGATTTCTTGCTCACTCTCGCTGCCACATCCGGGTTGGTTTTGGCAGTGAGGTGGCAAAGTAGAAACTGACCAGGGACAAATTTCCAGGGTAGCAGAGAGGTTTCAGCCAAAAATAAGCATTGCCAGGAGTTGCTCTGTGCTTTCCAGTAGTGGGCTTTGTGGAGTGGATCTGGTTTTGTTGCTAGGACTTGGTTTTGTTGCAAGACTCATGGAGGGAGAGGTGAAGAAGCAGAAGGACTGGCTGCTACCAGTCTGAACTCATCTTCTCTGGTTTATTCAAAAGACATGAAAGACAGGGAGAGGTGGAGGTTCCCATCCTTCCTGCAGTGCATTTCTTGGAACCAGAGGAGCTGGAGAAAAGATTACGAAGCAAAAGCTGAAAACAACATCCATGAAGGTATGCCCAGCTCCCTCCCTTGTACTCTGCTGTGATTGTCAGAAATTCCTCATGATTCCCTGATGGTTCTGATGCCCAAACCCCTTGCTAGTAGCCTCTTCCAGCTACTTCCAGCTCTGCAGTTGACCTTGCTTCCCTGGCTGTGGTTTAGGCCAAACCTGAAGAGAACCAGCACATGTCTGCTTTGTTGCCATCTCCTGGTTTTCTGACCTTTTGCTTGTCTAAACAAAACCAGACTGAGTCTGGTGCCCAAATACACCCCTGGAAGCACTGCTTAAATGAGCTGCATTTTGTTTGAACATCTGGAAGCAGAACTCTCTGTCTAAGCAATGAATTGGAAGCACCCTGATATTATGTGATGTTTTCTGCAAACATGGTGAAAAGAGTGTTCCCTACCCATTTGCTTTAGGGGCTGGCAGAGAGAAGGGAGAGGGCAGTGAGCCATGGGCTCCCCGATTCAAAAGAAAATTGTTCAGGTAACACATAACATAGCATTCAGCCTTTGTGCATGGTTGGCACTTTGGCTTGTGCTTCCTAGCAGTGATTTTCTTTTTGCAGGAGTGCCTCAAGCAGGAGGCTACAAAGTGTGTGGTGTGGAGATCCAGATTGTACTATGAAGCATAAAGAGGAGGGAAAGCTCCTTCAATGTAAAAAGAATAGAATAGAATAGTTATATTTTGACTTGAAAGGTACCTATAATAATCATCTAGTGCAACTGCCTAACCACTTCAGGGCTGACCAGATTTTAAAGTATGATATTAAGGGCCTTGTCCAAATGCCTGTTAAATATATAAAATACTTAAGAGAGCGCAAGAGTCAAAAAAACAACTGAAAAGAGTGCTCAATTTATGCAGCTTTGAGACATGTGAGATGTTTGAGACTTATAAGACCCACTCTCCATGGTCAGAAAACTGCAGTGCCTGATCTTGTTGTCAGTGCCAGGCAGGCTGTACCCTGTGGCCATGCAACTTGTTTTGAGACTGCTGACACTTCAGGAGGCCAGGAGCTGGGCCCTGCATGCCTTTGCTCTATTTGCTGAAACAATGCTGAGTTTGTAAAAGAAAACGAAAACCAGTTTTGAAAAAAAACTTAGTTTGTGAGTATATATCAATTGCTTCAGCCCATGCTTTCTTTTCATCTTAAGTTGCATTTTCTGGGAGGAGGGGTTTTCCATTCAGGTCTGCCTTGACCTCTCTCTGTTTCCTGCAGATGATCTGCAGGACCCTGAGGAAGAAGTGGCTCTGACCAGCCTTTCCCCCAATGGAAACTGCGAAGAAGCTGCTGGAGGCACAGGCACCTAGAGCTGCTGGGCATGCAACACAGTTCACATCCCAGACCTGCCCAGTGGATTTGGAGCAGTGGGAGGAGGAGCTGGTGCAGGCCCTCTCCTCCAAGGACCCTCAGCTCCAGGGAAAAGCTGCTTGGCTGAAGTCATCAAGGTCTTTTGTAGCTGCTGCCAACCTCTGGGGTCTGTGCCAGACCCATTCCCTGCTGTGCCCTGCTGCCCTGGGGCACCTGGAGCTGCTTCTGGGCACTAGGCTTCTGAGAAGCCCTTCAGGGATCTACCTCACATCCTGGGCAAAATTATGTTGGGACTTTGAGTGTGAAATGTAGCCACCTGTTTGAAGAATGAGAAATGTTTTCTAATTCCAAGCAAAGTTCAATGCTGAGGTTGCTGTGGCTGGCCTCCCTGGCAGACTGATTCTGCTGCCTTGCTTTCCTGCTTTATTGGTGCTTGGAAGCTCCCACCCCCCCCCCCCCCCAAAAAAAACCCAGCAAGTAACACAGTGGCTTGGAGACTGCAGTGGGACTAAATGTGAGCTCTTGGATCTACCAGCTACTGAAAAGGCTTGAGTGTAACGTGAAGAATGCAGTAACAGCCCAGCTTGAGCAGCAGGAATACCATGAAGGATTCTTCATGGATATCATGAAGGATACCACTGGCATCTAGATCAGAGTGGAGTTGGGAGCAGAATCTGTCCCTCTGGCTTGTCCTGGTGCTCATAGGCTAACTGAGGGATGCCTGGGTTGGAGGGGTGGCAGGTGGGCACTAACGTGTGGCTGGTGCTAGGTGAAGATACAGGAGAGGGCCATCTTAACTGGAACATCTCCACTGGCATGGTGGCACATCTTGGAGTCGGCCTGCAGCACAACAAGATGTGGCTGTTTCATAAATAAACATAAAAATATAAAAATTATCTATTTAAGTAGCTCCAGGGGACTGCCTGTAGCCTGTGGGGCAACACAATTAACTAGAAATCCTTGGTTTACGAGGAATATTACTCTAATGCTAAGAATATCTTTTAAATTCTTTATGCAACATAAAAGAGGTCTTGTTTTATTTTGAGCACAAGCTTGGCTTTCCTTTAGTTTCCTCCAGCTCAGATCAGAAATTTCATCCTGCCTACCTCTTCTTTGGGTTAGTTGCCAAAGTGCCTTGTCTGTGCATGTCTGTGCTCTCTCTGGTTCCTTTTCCCCCAGTGGCAGAAGAAGTGTCTGGGGTCCTGCCAGCTCTAGCCAGCACTTTCCCCCAGCAGTCTGCCTTTGGCAACCCTCTAGCTTTTATCTGGAGCAGGAGACGCTGCTCTGCAGAGAGGGCACTGACCCACTCTCCTTCCAGCCTCCAGGATTTCTGTGCTTATGACCCGTGGAAGATACAAATGTAACAAAGTGACTTGGTGTGGGTGGCTGTATTACTGGCCCCAAGTTTCAGCACTGAGCACTGAGTGCATCTTGGTGATATTAAGGTTCCCTCCTGCTCCATCCCTGTACAGCACAGGTCACTGTGCAGGTCTGTACTTTCCAGTAAAGCCCCTGATTAGGTGGGTCAAGCAGGACTCACCAGTATGAATCTTTATTTTCTAGCCTTTGCTGCTAAGCATTCTTCAGTGAAGAGGTGGTCCAAGAGCACAGACTGGCAGTTAAACCTCCCTTAGTGCTGCAAATCCACTGGATTTATTTACTAGTAATTTTTAGGTAAATCACCCAAGTTTACCCCTGCAAGAGACTGATGGAAATGGATGAACTGCCAAGGCTTTAGGAGGTGTAAGCGAGAATACCGTTGACTAAAAATATTGTTTTTCTTTGACTGAGGAATAAGTGACATGAATTACTTTTTTTTTTCATTTCTCTTTTTACTATCTGTGCACTTGGAGGCGTAACCAGATAGTTTAACATGTTTAATTGATTGAATAATATAAGGGCACTATTACGTGCTTGTTGAATAAAGACATTTAATTTCCGAACTGGAATGTGCTTATTTGTTTGCCATGGTGTTATCCTTAAAGTAGCATTATACACAGATTAACCCACATTTATCTTGGCTTGAAAAAACTGGTTATTTGGATGGAAGTGACTCCAGTGTCTGATATGCAGAAGATCAGCAGAACTGAGTGCAGCCCAGGTGGAGCAATGGAGAAGACTGGAGATCTTCCCAGTTGTCCAAGAGCAGAGCAGCCCCTCTTGGCATTGTGGGTAGGGGTCTGATAAGCTTTCATTAGTAACTTTCATTAGTAACTTTCACTAACTGATACCATTATGCATCCTCAAGGAATTCAAGCCCTTAATAGGGTATTTCTTCCTATTCAGTAGCAGCAAGGAGAAATGAATGCTACCGAGGTCTGAGCACTTTGGTCTCTTGTGTAGCATCGCTGCTCCTGAGCTGGACTTTCCCTGTGCAAATCCACCAGCCTGGGTATCCCATCTGTCTCGTGCCGCAGACGCGGCCGGTAAGAAGTGTTAAACCCATGGGATAAAATCGCTGATCCTTGCACTGCCATGGGACGCTCTGTGGCCTAAAGATGCACGCCTACTGCGGGGGGATGTCCTGGCGGGGGAAAGCAGCCGCTTCTCGGCGAACGGCCCAAACGCGGGCACCGGCGGGGTCATTCACAGGGAACTCACAGCTCCGGCTCCGGCAGTGGTGTGGGGTTTTCGGGCGCCGGAGGCCGTGAGGAGCCCGTGGGGGCTGTGGGGGAGCCCCGAGAGGTCCGCGAGCCTGGCGAGATGTCGTTGTGGGGCCGCGGACGGTACAAGGTCCCCGACGGCAGGGCTGCCCCGCTCCTGCCCGCCTGTTTCTGCGCCGTCCCGCTCAGGCGATTACACGGGCACCTTTCCCGGGCGCACTGCGGAGCAGCCGGAAGAGGCCCTTGGCGGCACTTCCGGGCCGGGCAGCGGCGGTGGTGGCGGAACCGCGGTTGGGCCGGACCGGACCCGACCCGACCACCCCGGACCCTTCGGACCTCCCCGACCCCCCCTCCGAGGGCAGCCGGGTGGCACCATGATCACCTCGGCCGGTGAGGCAGCGTCGCGGAGCGGCGTTGTCCGCTAGGGTTTCGCTGAGTCAGGGCCGTGACTGAGCACCGCCGCGGCTCCGCGGGGCCGCCCGTCACGGGGCCCCTTCGCCCCGGTTACCTCCGGACGGCAGAGAGAGACTATCCCGGTGCCTCGCGCTCCGGCACGACCGGCTCTTGAAGCCGTGTCCGTGTCCTGCCGGTGTCTCACAAGGGCTCCGGTGGCTTTGCGGATCCCCGGGCAGGGGCGCGGGGCTCCCACGGTGTGAGCGGGAGGGTTCAACTGCTTCAAGTGAACGGCGCATTTTAGGTGTAAAACCGGAGCGCACTCGGGAGGTGCAGCAGGGACTTGAGAGGGGGAAGAGGAAGGAGTTTGGAGTTCAGAAACGCAAATGCAGAGGAAACGTCGGTCTAAGGAGTGCGGGATAAGGAAGTGTGTTAGGAGTTGGATGTTACGCGGTGTTTGTGCATCTATTGGGAGCTTAATAGTGTAAAAATATATGGAAAGTATTTCCAGGAATACTTAGGCCAGAAATTAACATGTGGCTGGTTGTGGCTTGGCGATAGAAACAATGCAGAGAATGACATTGTCCAGGTTGCTTTCTCTTTCTGAACCTTTTGTTTTATTTAAGTCTTTGTTTTGATTGAGGAGAAGCAGGAATTAATTTTAGAGGCATTTTAAAAATGTAAAAATGGTATGTGGGAGCGACGTGTGTAGGTGGTGTGTAGGAGTGAGATTGCATTGTCCTGACAAATCAGGTAAATACTGAAACTTATTTAAAATAAAAATAATAATTTTAAAAAACCTCAAAGCAAACATTTGGTGCAGAGGTGCAGGAAACCACTGGAAAGAGCTAGAAGTGGGATGACTGCTGAATCTGCCTTCTTTGCCTAAGAGCCATATTGGTGTTCCTCCAATTCCTATTACTGATAGATGTGTGTCAAACCTGATTTTTAAAAACAGTAACTGATAATGGAGGTTCTGCAACTCTATTAGGCAAAGGAATAAAGGTGAGAAAACTTTTCAGGTCATCAAACCTCATTCTTTGAAGCTTCAGTAAAGTTTGGTGTTGCTGTTCTGTTAATATCTGACACAAAGATCAGATTATTCTGATCTTCCTGCTGGCAGCTGCCCCAAGTACTGTACCCTTCCCAGGTGTCTGTAGACCAACCAGTTACAAGCCTCCAGCCATCCTTCAGGTGGTGACTGCCAGAGCTCCCTGTTCTTACTGCCCAGCTCCAAACACCCTGCTTTGCTCATGACTCAAACATGGTGCCCAGCACTAGGCAGGGCTCTGACCAGTGAGTGCCCAGGGAAGGGAAGGTTCCTCATGGATCTGCCAAGAACTGCTCTCACACGTCTGTGTGAGGTTTGGGTTCTCTGCCTTTCACTGCAGCCAAATGATATTATTGATCATATTTTGTCTTAACCCTCTGTACTATTCAGATCCTGTATTTGTGCATTTTGGTTTGGACCTGCACATGCTCCTTTTAGATTTGTTGAGATCTTTTGGAAGCCTAATTCAGCCTCCAAAGACTTGCTGGCCTTTCCAGTTTCATGTGTTTTTTCACATTCAATGAAGTTGTCAAGCTGTACAACAGATTAAAGCAGTGAGTTGTGTTGGACTTTGATCAGATCATATTCCAGCCCTTTCTGTTGCGTCTTTGCAGTCTAACAGTGAAACCAGCTATCCCTGTTCTTCAGATTAAGCTCCTATGAATCTCTCAGTCATGTCAGTTAAACAGTATTTCTGTAACTGTACAAATGTTCTGGGACAGGATCAGCAGTCAGAAGCATAAAGCTGTGATGTACATCTCCTCTTATCCATGAGGCCAGTTTCCTTGGCATGGAAAAATTCTTTGTTTTCCCCTAGGAAGGATCACATTTTATAAATAATGTACCTTTTCAGTTAAAAATTCTGAACTATTTTACATTATATTTAATACAAATTTGAATCTGATCGTTGAAGTTTTATACTGAAGATTTAAAATTAGCATTCCAGAGATAGCCTTCTTTCCTGTTCTGTTGGTTTTGAACTAAATGACAAGCTTACTTTTGATACAGAGAAACTGAAATTAACTATTATTTTGTTTTGTAGCTGGAATTATCTCTCTTCTGGATGAAGAAGAGCCACAGCTCAAGGTAAGCTCTTACATCTAAGAGCAAGTAATAGCAAATGCATTATGTGGAGAGCTTAAAATCAAAAAGGAGCAGATCTCAGTAATTTATGGTTGGACAGCAACAGGTGGGCGCCTAATTGTATCTAGCCTGAAAGCTAAAAGAAAGGGCTTAAATAAATGATAACAGATTGCAAACTTCCTTGTTTTGAGCATGGATCAAAGAGGAACTTCAATGCAAAAATCTCTATTCATGAAAGCTCCCATCTCTCTGGTGGTAATGGGGCTTTGTTACTTAAAATTGTTCCAGAGACTGCATTTTGATTATGTAAAATTCAAAGCTGAAGAGCAGCTCAGGTTTTTAGAATAGTTTAACCAATGTAGAACAAATCATAGTTATAGTTTTCACTTGGAAAAAAATCACAGTAGTAGTCTGAGAAGAAGAAAACAGCAACAGATATTTTTCGGTGCACAGAGGGTATGAATCCACAGAACACCAACACTGAGTGGTGGTGTGTTGATGGAACATGCACTTTTCAATATTTGTAATTCCCTAATTGTTTTTCTTGCATACAGACATAGGTAGTGATGGATCTGAATGATCCCTGATTTTGCTGTGAACTGATTACAAGTGGGCTGATTGTGGTTTGTCATCTGAAGTATTGTGTCCATATAGATAAATAGAGTTGGCTGCTGCATGCCACAGGTTGATTCCATGTGCTACACAAAGGTTGTCACAATTTCATCAATCGGACATATCAGCCAGTCATTCATCAGAGAGAGGCCATGGAAAGGAATGCTGGAATTGTCTTCCCTGTGAAGTGAACAGCTCTTTATTTGCAGAAGACTTGCAAAGATTAGTGAATGCTTGCAAAGATCTTTTAAAATAGAATTTGCTGTTGAAATGGGTCAGCGTTTATGATATTCATCCTAGAATGTACTTAGGTTTTACTGGGGAAAGGTGGAAAATGCATTTTTAATATATATAATTTTTTTTTTTGGTAGGAGTTTGCTCTTCACAAGTTGAATGCTGTTGTCAATGACTTCTGGGCAGAAATCTCTGAGTCAGTGGACAAAATGTAAGAGAAGACACTTAATACTCCTTAAAAAGAACATGAGATATGAAGTGGATGTCATTCTGGTTTCTAATTAGCCATTTTGAAAATGGCTAATACAGCATGTAGCTCCATATTTCCTAGAAAGCTCTAATATGTCTGCATGTGGGGTTGGAGCTGTGGTCCCAAAGATGCAAGTTCAGTGCAGCTTGTACTTGAGTCATGTGGCCTTAAAGAGATCTGAGCACACAGAGTGATGCTCTTCTCTTCCTCCTCTGCAGTGAAGTTCTCTATGAAGACGAAGGTTTTCGGAGTCGCCAGTTTGCTGCTCTGGTTGCTTCTAAAGTTTTTTACCACCTGGGAGCCTTTGAGGAATCCCTGAACTATGCCCTGGGAGCTGGTGACCTCTTCAATGTGAATGACAACTCAGAATATGTGGAGACGATCATTGGTAAAGAACTGTCGCTGCAAATGAAAAACTTTTGTGTTGTCAAAACTGCTGTAACTTTGGAATTTTACTTAGTTTAGCTTTCTTCTCTGTATTCTTCTTTCTGTCTTTGTGTTCATATGAACTGATATTGCAGCTAATTTTACCCAGTTTATTTGTACTTTTCTTATATTTTGGGATTCTGTAATGGAATTGACTTCCGAGTTCTGGAGTTTCATTCCTATTCTTAGTCTTTATTCTATAGTGAATTCCTAATAAGAAAATCGCTTCTATTGTTTATTGTCCTTTCTCTCATTTTTGTGCTGATATTATTAATTTCAGTATGACTT